CTCTCCTCTCCCCCAAAAAAAAAAAAAAAAAAAAAAAAAAGGGGGAGTTTTCTTTTGTGCTTTGTGATGGCCCCCTTCCCCCCCCCCCCCCCCGGACTATGCACGTGACTCTCCAGATACATAACCCCAACCCTGGCGCGCGTGCGCATCTCCTTTTCGCACTCATCCATCAACGCAATTGAATTCAATCAACAACGCAGTCAAATCTATCAATCTTGGGAGCGGCCGAATCGCTAAAAAAACGCAATAAAAATCTAGATCTATAGAATATTGCGAAAGTGGTGGAGGTAGATCAGGGAGGTCGTCGTCTTCGTAACCAGGTACGTGTAAGTCAGCCATGGCTGACAAGGCTAGAAGGTTGTAAGTGCGCCAGGGTTAGGGTAAGGTAGCTTACAAGATGCCAGCGACTGCAGATTTTATCGCGTTTTCGAAGGAATTCAGCGATTACTACGTTGTTGGGAATCGAGCGCTTGTTGCGTTTCTGAAGAAATTGAGCGTTGTTGATTGAATTCAATTGAGTTGATGGATGAGTGCAAAAAGGAGAGGCGCGCGCCAGGGTTGGGGTTGTGTGTGGGGAGGTGGGGTCACGTGCATAGTCCATGGGGAGCGGTCACACATTATAGTTAGCGTGCTAAGGCCCTATAGGCCCAGTGCCTCCGGGCGAAATAAATTCCATCCATCCATCCATTATTATTTCTCTTATCACGCTAGGTACTAAGTACATGCGGTCCCTCAGCGATTAACTCGGTAGGAAAAACCATGCCTAAACTGGATGAAAACCTCCGCACGTTCGCTGCGGCCTCGCCGCTACCCCGTGGATCCATCTCCTCGAAAGGGCTCACCCACCTTCCGAGGTCAAAGTAACGAAATAGATAAAATGAGTTGTAACCTCTGTTCCATTGGTGCCCTTCTGCTACTCCGCTTCGTCCCCGCCGCGGGCCTCCTCGTTGTTCTCATTTTCCAGCTCTACCGCCAGCCGGAACTCGTTCAGCCTCCCCAGCCCAAGTACCGACCCCACCACTATGGCAGCCTTCTCCACGTCATCTAGCCACTCCAGTAGCTCTGCGCCGTCGTCTGGCCAGGGCTGAGGTTTATCTGCCGCTCCGTTGCATTCGAGTACGAGATGTTCGAATGTCTCGCGCGCCATACCGCAGCGGCATACCGGCGTTACCACTTCAGGGGACCCTCCTAGTAAAGAGGAACCCTCGAAGCCCAATCTTCCCGGTCCTCGCACTAGGAGGGTACTCTTCGCCTTCGATAGCTCCCAGGCTGGGTCCCTCGACCGGTAGGGGAGCGGTCACATAGTCCGAAAAGTATCTTTTTAAAAAAAAAGGCGCGCCTGTGCAAAAAACCAAGACCTGATTTGCACCTGACATTCATGGTGTTTAAAAGCTCCGCCGGTTGTTATTCCCAGTTCAAAGGTGCCTCGCTCCCTCTGGCCACAAAAGGCCGAACTCAAAGGGGGGAAAGTAAATCGAGGAAAGAAAAAGTAAACAAGAGAAAATAAATAAAAAAGAAAAAAAAAAAGAAAAGAAAAGAGGTAACTAGTTAAAAGAAGATGTGAAGAAAACAGAGCAAAGTACGGCAAAGAAATTGAGTCCAATAAAAAGTAGATTTGGGGTTTCGAATGGCTTTATTTTCAACCTCCTAGCTAGGTACCTGCTCGTTGTGTTCTCATTCCGTCTCTCGATGGCGCCATCTGACGAGCTCATAGGTACCTTAGGTTAGGTACCTGTTTAAGGTTTTCGCGGCACGACTGTAGGTACCTTGTATTTTCCCCTCCGCCATTCTTTTACCGTTGTGGCCAAACCGAGGTAGCTGATCGCATCGCTAACCAATTTCTCCAACACAGTCGTGGGCCCCAGGCGCAACCATTAAGGTCGACCATGCCAACGGCACTCGACACACCACCTAGAGCGGAGATCTATGAATAACATTCGCGGCGCCGCCACACTCTTTAGACGGCCGCCACGGCGGGGACTAAAAGAGCAACCCGTATACATGAGCTAGGGGGTGCGTGCGGGCAAAAACGGGGTCGGCAGGGACTCGGAAGTTTGGGACTCGCATGATCACCAAGCAATAATTATCGGGGTCGGGAGAATGATGTTGTCGCCGTTACTTTGCGACGGTGGACAAAACGCTCTCTTGCTATCGAAACGCAACTCTTCACCACAGGACAAGCTATAACCGGCGCATCTGTCCTCCGCATCGCCTTCCCCGTGACGGCATGACGGGACACGATTTCTGCAGTCTCTTATCCGCTCATGTTCCTCCAACATCCACTGGCGGTAAGACATGACAATAGCGAACAATGTCGCTCTTGCGGCTGCAGCCCCGTATTCCACCAATTCGTGCCCTTAAGATGACATAAACTTAGACGAAATCGCAACATTTGTAGTTGCTTCCTCCCGGGCAGAGTCCTGTTCTCAAAAGTTTAACATTTACGCTATTATTTGTTGATAACTAGTGCGAAAATATGTAAACCAGGCACAGGGAGGGGTACCGACCGGATCGCCATGTGCCATCACAGGCAGTGTTGGTCCACTGGCACATCGACTCATCGCCGAAGCACTGGTACATGGTGCAGCATTTGACGTCGGCTGGGTCGTTAGGACATCCGCCATTGATGGTCGACCCTCCAAACGAAGCGCAAGTCGAGGTCTTAACGCAGATGCCCTGCCTCTTGGCCGTGCCCGTTGCGGTTCCGGAGCAGTGGCCATTGAGGGCGGCCATAGCAGTGAGCGGGCACAAGGCCAGAAGAAAGTAGGAGATGGATCGCATAGTGGATGAATTTGATCCAAGACGGTCGAGATGGCAAGCTGAAGATGTTAGATTCCTAGAGATAAATTCTCATCTTATAGACTGAGACGAGCGAGAGCTAGTGTATGTATACATGTACCTTGATATAGAGGAGTCCGTAAGACGGGCATTCCCAGCCCGCGTATTGAAGAGTCAACGTCCCACTCGAAGACTTCATATCCCCCACGTGCCGATCCAGCTCTTCAACATTTATGTTAGCCGTGCCAAGTAGGAGCCATGGCAGCTGAACGCGGGGTTTGTGCTTAGGCGACGGTCCATTGTCATCTAGAATAGTCCTGGGTTAAGGTAACTATTGTATGCAGTGTTACCCTAAATCGGGGGATGCATTGCTGCCCCAAAGAACTGTATCATCTCTCAAAGAATTGAACAGAAGGGGGTTACTTAACCTTCTGAATTTCTTTTCCAGCAACTTGGAGGGCCCCTGCCGTTGGTCGATAGGAGTTCTTTGTTGAGCCCACAAAATGCCCTTCGGCCTGTCTTTCGCCATTTTGGAAAGTCTCTCTCATGCATAATGTCGGAAAAGGCAGTTTGGAGAACTTGATTGCTACCGCAGCGGTAGCGACGATCAGAAGCCGATATGTCGGTACGTAGCGGCAAACACGGCCCAATATCTCCAATACAACGTGCAAACAACCAACGAATCATTCAAGATTAAAGACAGAAGTATGTGCTCCATGACAATTGGTAAAGAGGGCTCCGAACTCTCCACAGGTCCGTAGCACAAATGCTCCCGGCGGATATATAGGTACCGGTAGGTATCTAGGTACTGATCCTAGAAATAACTCCATGTTAGGAAACTGGGCTGCGACCGGCCCATTCCTCTCGTTCCTCCGCAAGGCAATAAAATAATCCTTGCAAATGATTGGGAATAGAACCACACGTGGCTTTCGAGGTGTTTAAAAGATTTAAATTTTCTCAGCATGGCTCCTTCCAAAACAACCCACTCCCACTCTCACAACCAACTTCGCCCTCACAGAACCCATAAAATTCAGCAATTATCATGATCTAGCATCGAGATAAAAGAAAAACCCAAGATGCCGGTGTTCCGCTATTCGCCCAAGACCGTCGGTAAGAAGTCTTGATCAGCCCCCCTCATTTTTCGTTTCTTACAAGGGTTGACATGAACCAGTGCCGTCGGGCTTTGACGTAGTTAGTTTTAAAATATAAGGATTTAACTCTGAAAACCTCGTCGAAGTTCAAACAAGACGACGTCAAGAGGATGCTCGTAGCAGCGGCGGAAACACATGTCAGGCTCAAACGAGCCCACCTTTGTTATGTGAAACTACCTTTCATCGTTACGGGCATCGTCGCCGGCCTCCTCGTCTAGGGAACGGGAGGGCGGAGGCTTTGCAGGCGGCGTTCGGTACGTATTTCATTCGCAAATCTCTTACCGCTCCTACCGCACTTTGATTCACCGCAATGCTGACCACTGTCCCAAACGCAGCCAAAGCCCCGCGTCCAGAGCGCGGTCTCTGAAACCAACCACGCCGTCTCACCACCGACTTCAGTTATTGAAGCCGCCCCAGCAACAACGTTGGCCGCGTCGCCAAGCCTACACGACAGCTCTCATGGCGGCCGGAAGTGGAACGGTACTTATATACACTCGGGGCGACTGGCAAGGACGGACTGGGGAGAGATAGCCAAACGGCAGGGCAATATTGAAGGTTGAGAGAATGACCTTGTCGCCGCCGTTTTGCAATGGTTGATGAAATAGCTCTTTTGACCCCAAACGTAACCCCTTACGGTTGGCCAAGTCATAACTGGTGCATGCGCCTTCCGCAACGCCTTTCCCGTGACGACGGAACCGCGAGTGTCTTCACGGTCCGTAATGTTGACAATTACCAACCTACCTAACCACGCACGCCACGAAACACACTCCCTACTCGCCCCGTTCCAGGCCGCACTTGCAAACTTGAGCACGCCGTGCTTGCCTCACTTCCCGATGCACACGGACCTCTCCAACTCTGCCGAGTTGTGGTGGGATCCTGCCCATTGTATATTGGCCATGGGTTATGAATTCGCAGCAGGCATATATCATTTCTTTGTCCACGGGTCATCGTATCGGCGATATACGTTGCTCTCTCCGCGCTGTTACGCTTTTTCCGGGTCATGGACGTGTTGGAAGTTGTGGCACTTGGCACTCGGACATTCGGTTGCAGAACATGTATGGCTGCCCTACGGGGGGGGCGCAATGCAGCCTACGTGGGGGGAGGCCAAGGGCTGACGAGCTATTTTACACGAGATGAGGGGAAGGACAGAAAGAGAGGAGGAGAACCTCAATTGACGACTTCTGGGCTGCTACGAGTATCCCAATCTGACTGTTGTAAGCTCCATCATCTGTGAGATAACCGTGGAATCGTGGCTGTTGGTCTTCCAACAGGACGCTGAGGGTGACGAAGTTGATCGGACGTGATTGCCGTCCGCTCCATCTACGCTCAATGCCCAGGCCCGATGGATGTGTCCCAGTCAAAGAGCTTCAACTGTCGTCAAGAATTGAACCAGTCATTTCCATGTGGGGAACAGGCCCTCGACGCATTGCCCCGAGCTGATTAAGCGTCAGATGCCAGTGAGGCACCTAAGAGGCACCTTCGAGGCTGTGTCGAGCCTCAGCCCACCGCACTTTAGCGCCTAAACCAAACGGCTGCCTGAAATTAACCCTAAAGCCTGATCACCAACTGCCATAAAATCTTGTCAAGCCAATTTATCTCAACGGAGCCCATCAACACGAACACAACCAGCGTCGACTGTATGTACCTACGTACACCCAGTGAGCCAGTCCCGGGCCCGTCACAACTGAAACGAAGAACCTCCCGCAAACCCGCCTTTCCCTGCACGCATCCCGCCATGGCACCCATCGCCCGCATGCCCGTCCAACCCCCAGCAGACCTCTTCATCTCCCGAACTCCTCCCCCACAATCCACGCCGGCGGCGACACCCGAACCCGGCGACTCCACCCAACGGTCCCACCCGGCCCCACCCAGATCTGGCCCCACAGAACCGGAGTCGCAGGCGGGGCCGGGACGGGAGTCCTCGGAGGGACAACGGATAAAAGCGGAGCCTTGCGGAAACTACAACCACCACTCCAACTTCGACTCCAACTACGGGTACAACAACAACGAAAAGCCCCCGCAACTACTGCAACCCAGACCAACAACGCTCCACCATATCGAGTTTGTGCGCGCAAAGGGGCACGGGCCGAGGCCGGAGCAGACGGACGCGCTGGCGCGTGGGGCGCGCGAGTTCTATAACCAGGGTTTGGAGCACCAGCGGCAGAGGCGGCTGAGGCGGAGGCTGGTGCTGCTTTTGTATGTTGTGTTGTTGGTGGCGGGGGCGGGATTTGTGGGGTGGTGGTGGTTTTGCGGTCCTGCGTGTGGGTTGTAATGTGATGTGGTGGGTTGGCGGTGTAGCTGTTTCCATGGGCTGGCCGTTGGTGCTGCCGTGGGCTGCCGGAATGGGCGCAATTAGAACTGGGGGGTTGTATGTTGTCAGGTATTCGGGGTGGGTTCTGTTGGGTTGATGAGAGTTTGGGAGTTCCCCTAAATTACTTTTGTTGGGTCTTCGGTTCGAACATGGACGGCGTTCTCTAGGCAAGCGGTCAACACATCATGATAAAATGATCCGGAAAGATAAACATATCAGGTGTATATCACGCATTTCCACGCACACTTCGGCCCATCGTTCAGTATTATGCAAGATGCATAACTTTCGCTCGGGTCAGGAGAAACAAACTTCCATATTTACCTGGCATCGGCCGCCAATAGCTGCCCGTCAACACGCCACGTCCGCCCTAACAGCATCTACAATACACTCCAAGGGTTGAGGGGCGATCACCTGCTAAGCAGGTTCGCGTTGGGGCCTAATGTTTATCTAGAGCTAGGCTTAGCAAGAACCAGATTAAAGCATAGCAACAGGAAGGACAAAACACACAGGCCAGCAAGAAAGAGGTTGATGACCCCGAAATATCACCCGATCCACATCCAGCTCTAGACTAGTTCGACAAATCACTAAACGATTCCAGTCACATTCACCCCAGCCTGTGCCAAAGCCCCGTCATACAGCCTATGTCCAACCGGTGAATAACCCGGCACCACATCCCCATACGCCTGCATCCAAGTATCTAAGTAGCACGAGTCAGCACACTCTCCGGTTTCCCAGACCAAATAACTCAGCCAAACTCACCATAAGTACTCTCCGGCTTATACTTGCAATACCACGCAATGAACCACAACAACCCCGCGCTCGGCCCATCCGAGTCTCCACCACTATCCCCATTCGGGAACGCCTCCATCACCGCCGCATGCTCCTCCTCCGTAATGCCCATCCTCTGCCCCCCGGACCTCCCATACGACCAGTCCATCTCATTCCCCCAATAAATCGCAAACACATCCGGCTCCTTGTACAGCGCCAGCTTCGGCTCCGCATGCAGCGCGATCCCATCCCACACCCTCTGCACGCGCCAGTCCGGCCATTTCCTACCGTCGTGATGGGCGCGGATGAAGTCGGCGGCGGCGATGGCCGAGTCGACCTCGAAGCGGCGGTCGGCGCTGACGAAGGGGTGCGACAGGTTGTGGTCCGACGCCAGGTCGTGCAGCATCAGCCCCACCGCGTGCACCTCGAGGTCCACCTGCGCCGCGAGCGTCGCGTCGTGCCGCAGCTGCAGCGCGCCCCACAGCCAGCACCGCATGATGTGGTTGTAACTGCCGGGCGAGTACTTCTTGGCCAGGGCTTCGGCGTCCCGCACGATGGGGGTGTCGACGACGCGGATGCCGGCGAGGGTGCGGTGGGGGAGGGAGGAGGGGTTGGGTGGGGGTGGGTTGGGGGAAAGGGCTTGAGAAGCTGGTGATGCGGTTGTGAGGGGGGAGAGAGAGGCGACAGTGAGGAGAAGGGGGAGAAAGGAAAGGGTTAAGAGAGGCCGCATCGCGGGAGAGTTTTGACTCTTGATCAAAGAGAGAACTGGTGATGCCCGAGAACGGGTCAGTGAACGAAAATGAGAGGCATTTCATCCAGTATTTATCACGATATTTGTCACTGCATAGTAATCAGGACGGTCATCTTAATTATCTCTTACGACTCAACGCACCAGAAGCTTTAGTTGAGTATATGAGCAAGTTTGAGAGCAAATATTGCTCCCAATTTTCCCTAATGCGCGCAACCCGTGAAACATGAGGCACTGAGTGGGTGCCCCTAGAAACGAAGCTTGGATTGCCCTGTGGCGTCCGACGATAAGTTCCGACAGTCCACGGAATTTGGATGGTTTGCTGACGTGCCAGGCACGTCTTGGGAAGAGCCAATTGTACGGGGTAATACCTCGCTTGTGTGTTCATGACCACATTTCCGACGCGTTGCTCGCCTCCCTGAAGCGGATGACCGATTTCACCGCCCGTCAAGACATTCCGACAGCTCGGGACAGGTTCATCTTAGCCCGTGTATATACCACCCGTGCGCATCACCGCGTGACGATCCAGTCCCTCCGCAACTGGTGCATCTCACTCAAGACACAGCGACTTCACAAGGGAAGCGTAACAAACTACCTCCCGTATCTACGCTCATAACAACTCAACGTCTGCATCAGAGAACTGCTCCAAAGAGAATATCACGTACTCCCGAGAATCGTTACATTGATAGCTGATCACAGATATGTCGGACAACCGCCGCCGCATAATCGAACCCCCCGTTCTAGGTGCCCAGGCGCTTCCGGTTACCAGGCATGACTGTCGCTATTGAGGGCATCTCCAGCACATTTTTACAGGGTTTTACTACTAAACGTGTGAATCCAGGTCGTTAGTCAAATCTACCAACCCTAACAACAATGATTGGCAAGCTTCTTTGTTTGGCTCAGGAGCTGATATGCTCTTCGTGATTGCATCGACGAGTTGGGGCACCTTGCTGCCAGGAAGTCACGACACACGGTCCAAGGTACATGGTATTTAGGTTGAAGGGGCCCCGGGAAAGGGTGTGCCCCAGTGTGTGAGGCCGCCCCAAACACTGTCCGCTGCTCGCCCTAACTATGTCATTAATGGGTAGAGTCTTTGTGTAGGTGGGGGTTCTGACGTATGGGAATTTAGGTTTAGGAGCAAAAGCAAACATGAAGCGGACTTTAGATCCACCTGGGCCCGAATCCAGCCATGAACGGGCGGACTTAATATTCCCAGACCCGATGTCTGTTGATTGGTAGGTAGTTTAATCCAGCTCCGATGTTTGCGTTACACCAAAGTCGGATGATTTCTTCGTGCATCCACACACCCGCCCAAGACTCCAGTCCAAAATCACCAAGTTTCCGTTTCCAACCTCAACCTAACAACCATCTTCATTACACCTTCGATCAATACCTTCAAACCACTGCCACAACACATCAGTGCCCAATCAGCCATGGCTACCCCCACCAACCGCGCTCTCTGGCAGGACAAATTTGGCGTCCCCGGCGCTGTCCGCGATAGTCCATTCCCGACCAACGACGAGCTTGGCGACCACAAAGTGCTGGTCAAGGTGCACGCCTGGGCCATCAATCCCTGCGACTATATCCTCCAGGACAGGGACATCGGATTCGGATATCCCGTCATTCTGGGCTGCGACGTTGCTGGCACTGTCGAGGCCGTGCTCCCAGGTTCTTCTGCTGCCTCTCAGTTCCAAGTTGGCGACCGCGTCTTTGGCTTCAGCGCCAATAACGGGTTCCAGGACTATGTAGCCCTGGAAGACAAATTGATGACCAAGATTCCGGGCGACATGCCGTACCGGGAGCCTGTTGTTCTCGGCCTCTGCGCCGCCACCAGCGCGATGCTTCTGTTCGGAAAGGACTATCTGCAGCTCGATTACCCCAAGCCGGGCGTACCCAAAAATGGGAAGTCCGTTTTGGTCTGGGGAGGTAGCTCTGCTGTTGGCAGCAATGCCATCCAGCTCGTTACAGCCGCCGGCTATGACGTGATTGCAACCTGCTCGAAGAAGAACTTCGACTACGTCAAGGGCATTGGTGCAGTCCAAGTCTTTGACTACAGCGATCCGGATGTAACCGAGAAGCTTGCTGTAGAGCTCGACAAAGGCGAATGTGCCGGCATCTTCATGGCGGCCGGTCTGAAGACGGGCAATCTTGCAGCGTGTAAGGTTGCGGCGGCAGCCAAGCAGGTGGTATGTACTCGGTCATTTTCCCTCCATCTCCCGGGTATACGAGAAGCTAACAGGGCTCCTATCAGATCAAGTTCGCATCGTCCAATTTCATCGACAACTTGGATGAGTTTCCAGAGGGGGTAGACGTCAAGCAACTACCTGTGGGCAGTCTCAAACCATTCCCCGACTGTTGGTTTGAAACGGTGCCTGCCACGTTTGGGGGATATCTGCCCGAGGCTCTAGCCGGGGGAGCCTACAAAGTCGTTCCCCCGCCCCTTGTTATCAACAGGAAGGGTCTCGAAGGGATCCAGGAAGGGATAGATCTTCAGCGGCTCATCTCTGCGAAAGGCCAGGAAGGGATCAAAGAGGTTATCAACCGCGTGAAGGGGGGCATGGACGAAGATAAGGTATCTCCAGTCAAGCTAGTCGTTGAGCGAGATTAAGGTTGGGGTGTGGCTGTCACATACTAGACTCCCCGAATATGTTGTGATATATCAGAGGGTGCAATGAGAGAGCATCTTGCCCATTGTGCCACGTCCAATATAGCAAGTTGACACACCCACAGTCCGTTCGTTCGATTGCAACGTAGGTAGGTCTCTGTACATAAATGTTCTAACGTATATGTAACTTCACTGCCGTGCCTTAAGTCGAGTTCTCTTGCGTAGAGTATCGCTAATATTGTTGCCCGACCGCTGTTGACTAGAAGATGGGAGAGAACTGGAATTCGGACACGACGGGACTTTTACTCTGTTCTACACGGCATCAATCCCACGACTGCACGGCTCGCGAGGAGAGTTCTCGCCTGGCTGATGGACTCGGGGAAGCTGCCGATGTACAACTTAGCCAGGAGGCTCGAGCTGGAAGCGGCGGCCTGACGCGCCCCCGTTCGGAGGCCAGGAGGCCTCCTCTCTTTGTATATGTAGGCTCACTAAAACGCATCGCTCCTTGATTGTTGGTATGGGTTTTACACCCGGCCCGGGAGGGCACGGTTTTCCTGTACACTACCTAAATAGCTGAGGGTCCGGCACGCCCTAGGGTATAGCGGAGTATGAATAATAATAATAATATTGTTGCCCGAGCAGAAATACATCATGTGATGGCCAAGCGTACAACCCAGAATAAACGACTCTGATAATGAGGACACGGCTCGCACCTGTTCAGTAACATTTCATAAGATCCCGTAGACTTGTGATAAACGTGGATCGTTGCTGTTGGTCTTTTCCAACACATAGTTACATCCTTGCTATCAGTTCTGTTACATGACTTTCCTTCGGTGGGTAATAACATAATCACATTGAAGCTCCACAGGTAAATATCGTCCTCTTACTCCGCCGTGACATTTATTTTGGAGGTTCGACTTGATAAATGCCCCTCGAAGAGTGTAAGAACCACTCAAAGAGGCGTTCGGGGACCATCCAGTGAAGGTACTTGGCACGGCCTGCCACACCGCCACGCCAGACGTGTCCGTCGCGCCCACTGAGCACATCCCGAACCAAATTCTCGGCCGTCACCGACGCCTTCTCGTTCTCCTTTTGCATCTGACCCGTGCCCTGCTGGAAGATAAGATCTTTGATGGACGTGTAATACGAGGACGGGGGCAGCGAAGGCGGCGCGCGCGCGTTCCGGTAGATGTTGGTCTCAACCTCGCCCACCATGGCCGTAATGACACGCACACCCAAACCTTGCATCTCGATCCGGAGCGTTTCCGAGATCCAGCGAGCCGAGGCCTTGGACGAGTTATAGATGCCTAGTAGTTTGCCGGTGTTGGTAACGGCGGCGCTAAGCGAGGAACGAAGGCAGTTAGATTGAGAACGCACCTTGCCAGGCCATCCTCACCGCACCCGCAATACTGGCAATGTTGAGCACAACACCCCGCGAACGGATCAGCATCGGGGCGAATGCTTGTGTCACGGCCAACATGCCCCACACGTTCACGTCAAAGAGCCTCTTGCCCTGCGTCAGATTTGTATCGAGCAGCGGCATAACAAACATGCCGCCGGCGTTGTTGACCAGCACGTCGAGCCGCCCGCCCGTCTTGGTCGCGGCCGCCGCGGCACACGAAGCTATCGATTCTGTGTCCGTCACATCGAGCTGCAGGACCTCGACCCGGCCCGGGATCAACGTTAGCGATGTGGCCTTGGTTGGGTCCCGAAGCGTGGCTAGCACGTGGAAACCTCGCCGTGCGAAGGCTTCGACCAGAGCAGCCCCCAGGCCGCCATCACTACAGCCAGTGATGAGGACACTTGGCGTGGTTGCCGGCGGAGCCATGATCCGGTCACAAGGCTACCACACAGTTGCGCAATCGGGGAACCGGCAGATCGGTGGATTGGGGACCTTTTGCAAACAAGGGGGTAGAGGTAGAGGAAAGGGGAGGAAAAAGTGGTGTGTGGGGGGGGGGCAAACCACTACCGAACATGAACAATATCTCGGTACGTACTAAGCGCAACATTAAATCCATCCAAGCAATATCTCGCCGTTCGGGGCAAAAGCATGAAGGGCTTGCAAAAACGACAGGGTACCTTGGTACCTAGTCGGCCAACTCGGAGTCAGAGTCGGGGCTCCACCCAGTGAAGGTTCGGAGCATTCATGACTGGACATGTACATGTACAGTGTCGGTCGGGACTCGGATTGTTAAACAGACACGCTCAGAGCAATCAAGTCAAATTCACTACGTGGATTCGCGCTACACGCGATACGGCTCACCAAGAAGACTATTTGACCCTACAAATCAACCGATATAGTCGGCGTAAGTAGTCCACATCTCATCCTTCATGAGTCCGTCCAAGTCGGCCCGATTAAAACAAACGAGAGCATCAATGTCTCCGCTCTCAGTCTGTGGCATGAAGTAGATGTCGCTCTTGAGGGGGACAAAATCGGGTCGTCGGATAAGCGACGGTCGTCCCAGCGGGCCGAAGTCCACCGTGGCGAGCCGAATATGGGCCCAGGAGGAGGACCCAATGTCCGTGTCGGGGTTGAACTTGCCACCGTACGCGATGGTCGCCTTATCAGCTGTGCGCGCGATCCAAGTGGCAAAGCTACGCACGTAGTCGCGGTTGTTGACCGCCTCCAAATCGCGCCGGAAGCGGTTGGAGATCTCGGCTAGGGGCGCTTCGACGAGCTCGCGGAAGCCCATGGTCGAGGTAGCAATGGTCACCAGGTCCCCCATGTAACCTTGTGGTACGCCCATGGCGCGGCGCGCGTCGACGGCGCGGCAGAACTTGGCCACGGCCTCAGGGGTCTTGCGGCGTGCCAGACGCGTTGCGGTGACGCGTTGCCAGCAGAAGGCCGAGAGGGCGTCGTTGGTCGAGACGTATGAAGGGGGAGAAGACGGACAAGCCTCTCTTCCGGCTGTAGGTGGCGTTGCCATGGCCTTCAACGCTGCGAGCGTTGCGCGTGAGAAGCGGAAATAGCGCCACAAGAAAGGAGATTCGGGCTCCCTAGGCGGCGGGGGCAGGTCGTCAGACCCTGGGCGGAGAAATTGCCCATGGTCCAGCACTGTCTCGTTTTCCTGTAGCAAGGGCACAAGGTTCCGGCGGTCCATATTTCCCTCCGCGATTGCATCGCTGGGGAAGGGCTCTCCCCGCAGCGCTGTTGCGAGCAGGTTGTAGCACTGGTTGATGCCGCTCATATCAATGAAGTTGTGTTGTGCTGCACAGTCCAGAAGGAGACCTCCAGTTACGAAATTGGCTTGCAGCGCAATTACTGGAGCCGGATCTCGTTCTGTTTCATAGTAGGTTTCTGGAAACGCTTTCCGGGGGGCCAGGAGGTCGCCGGGGAGCATCGACGCCGGTCCGCGGGTTTCTACGAGTTCTTGATAGGAAGGCATGTCATTTGAGCAATCCTTGAAACGGATAATCGAGTTCGGTGATGACCACAGCTCGCATGGTTCCAGATGAAAAGAGCCCGGCCTTTCCGGTGCGCTGCTCTTTTGGACTACTTTGGCAGCGAGCCATGGGAAAGTCTTTGTGAGCTGGACAGATGCTGACTGAAGACGCTCTTTTGCTTTGTTACGCGATGAATCATCGTCCGACAGCGGGAAGGCTAGAAGAAGGTGGCTGTAGGTCTTCAAAAAGGGCAACTGGCCAACCACGTCTTGCATGTAGTCGAATCCGTCCATTGCCGCGGCTGCTTGTGGTTCTTGTCGAAGGCTCAAGATTGAATGATAGGCTGTGTGGCGGCACTGAGGACCCGTCGTTTGTGCGAAGTTTCTTTTGCTCGGCAGCTCGCCTAATGACGGGCAACGAATATGGATGATTTGATCAATTAGGAGCAAGGCGACCGTGTTCGATTCCCCTTGGATGGGCAACATGTCCAGTTCGTCTAGTCCGAGACAGACCAAAGCCGGGGTTTGAAATACCGGATCGACGTCTCGTTCCCTTGATCACAATGGCATGCCGCAGACCGCATGCGTCAAGTGTCAGCAGTAGAGAATACGTAGTTACCTAATTCTCCGAGTCGATAGCGCCGAGATGTCGATAGATTCGGCGTCGGGCCCAAGGTCCTTGATTGCATCGGCACATCCAAAGTACTGCTCTAGTCTTCGGGAGAAACACGAAACCGAGCTGCAGGGATGAATTTGTCCCGAAGAAGCAACGTCACCAGGGTGACAGATCAGACCCACGACATGCCCGGCAAGCGAACTACGGCGATGCGAAGGTTCAGAAACTATGGCAACCTTGGGTGAGCGTAATAAAGCTGCTTGCTTGGGCCTGGGAGGTGATGTTGGCTAGGTGTATATGTTACAAACGGTGTCTTGTTGATGCCAAGTTGTGATACGGCACCTTGGAACACTGTTTGTTATACAACGGCGAGGTTTGACCTCATGACCTATTCATCACTTACAGTTGTCCGTTCTCCTACTCAACCGCAAGTCCATTATACCAAGAATGGCCTCGACAGCTCCTTCTCTGACGTCGGGCATGGAGACCAAACTCCTTTTGTTTGGACCCCAAGCTCTGTCCTTCACCGCTGACTCCCTTCAAACTCTGCGGAAACTTCTGGTCGAGGCCGACGATTACAAGTGGTTGCTCGAAATTGTATCCGAGTTGCCCGCACGCTGGCATGAACTTGCCAAACAGTTTCCAAAGCTCGAGAGAATTCCCGGGGAACGACTCCTCAACGACTTAAGGGATTGGTTCCACAATGACGACCCCGACAAGAGGGACAAGATCACATCCCAGCTTCCAAACACCCTCCTGACGCCCTTGGTGGTGCTTACACAACTGGCTCACTTCGCACGATATCTGTCGTACAACCCGTCTGGAGGCTCGGTTCATGCCGATGACCTGTTCCGGGCACTGGCGCAACGTGGTGTTGAAACGGTGGGACTATGCACTGGGCTCCTCAGCGCGTCAGCCGTCTCTAGTGCGTCAGATGCGGCTACCTTTAGACAGTATGGTGCCGTCGCCGTGCGCCTCGCCATGGTTATTGGTGCGCTGGTCGACTGCCAAGAGGCTTCCGACAAACTCCATGGGCCATCGAAGTCCTTTGCCCTTGCTTGGACATCTCCCGACATGGCCAATGATCTGGTCCGCGTGCTGGAGGGATTTCCACAGGTACAGACATGTCGTTTCGAAGGTAACAGAGAACCAAGGCTTACACAAAAGGTGTTTTATAGGCGTACATATCGGTTCTTTTCGACGAGAATCGAGCAACCGTGACCACTGCGGAGGCTACCGCACCCCTGATGCTCCAGCAAATCAGACAGAAGGGCATTAAGGCTGCTGAGGTGAGACTTCGGGGCCGCTTCCACAGCGAGGTGCATAACGAAGATCTCCGGCGAGTGCTCCAGTTCTGTGACTTGGACCCGGCATTCCAGTTTCCAGAAACGTCCGCTCTGGCCTTCCCAATTCATCTTGGGAAAGGGGGTTGCCGCGCCAAGCGGCTACACCACGCCGTGTTGGGCATGATTCTTGCTGAGCAGGCAGCCTGGTACGAAACATTGTCAGGTGCGCTTCCCGCGCATCCCCAAGCGGTCATTGTCACATTCGGTCCCGACAGCGGAGTTCCGCCATCACTGCTCCGGAAGATGGGCTCGCGCCTTGTGCACGCATCCGACCTCAACTGGGCCCCGACATTGCTCTCCCCCAAGGACGGCGCTCTGAATCCACCCGGGTCGTACACGGCCTGGTCAGCCGCTCGTGGCAATGAGAACGACTCTGACATCGTAGTCGTGGGCATGTCGTGTCGGGTGGCAGGCGCCGACGACCTCGATGAATTTTGGAAGATCCTGTGTGCGGGCAAGTCGCAGCACATCGAGGTGCCAGGAGAACGCTTCGGTGTCGAGACGCAGTGGCGCGATGTGGATTCCTCCCGCAAGTGGTACGGTAACTTCATCCGGGACCACGACACCTTCGATCACAAGTTCTTCAAAAAGAGCCCGCGCGAGATGACATCGTCCGATCCCCAGCAACGGCTGATGTTACAGTGCGCATACCAGGCAGTCGAACAGTCGGGTTACTTCCACCAGGCTAAGGTCGACACTAAGGTCGGTTGTTACATAGGCGCATGTGCAGCTGACTACGAGCACAACGTGGCTTGTTATCCACCCAATGCCTTTACCGCCACGGGTAATTTGAAGAGTTTTATCCCGGGGAAGATCAGGTATGGTTGTGATGCAGTCTTTTTTATCTAAGACCGTCAAGACTTATCTCACATATTTGTTTATATTAGCCATTACTTCGGATGGACAGGGCCCGGCCTGACGATCGACTCGGCCTGTTCAGCTTCTGCGGTAGCCATACACATGGCTTGCCGGGCCATCCAAGGAGGCGAGTGCAACGGTGCTCTGGCGGGTGGTGTCGGCCTAATGGGCAACATTACCTGGTTTCAGAACCTCAGCGGGGCTTCTTTCCTCAGCCCAACAGGCCAGGTATGTGCAGTCGCGTACTTCATGACTTCCTTGACGACTCAGGTTCTTCCAAGTCCGTGACGGCTAACATTATGTGCTCTACTAGTGCAAACCATGGGATCAAGGAGCCGATGGCTATTGCAGAGGAGAAGCCGCTGCTGTTGTTTTCTTGAAGCGGAGGGCAGACGCTGTGGCTGACGGGAACCGGATTCTCGGATGCATCTCCAGCACGGCCGTCTACCAGAATGAGAACTGCACTCCTGTCTTTGTACCCAACAGTCCTTCGCTCACCTACCTCTTCAAGGACGTTCTCGACCGCGCGAAACTTGAGCCCAGGGATATCTCCGTCGTCGAAGCCCACGGGACGGGCACGCCCGTTGGAGATCCCGCTGAGTACCTGGTTCGTTGTCCCGGTGTGGTTCCTTCGGGTGGGCGTGACGTTGCTGATTCGATGCATTTTCTTACCAGAGCGTGCTGCAAGCACTTGGCGGATCGCTCCGTGATAAACCGCTGGCTTTAGGCTCCGTCAAAGGCCTGATCGGCCACACAGAAGGCGCTTCCGGCGTGGTATCTCTGATCAAAATTATCCTGATGATGCAGCACGGCTATGTCCCGCCCCAAGCGAGCTTTCAGTCCCTGGCCCATAACATTGCTGCCTCGCCATCAGACAAAATAGAGATCGTGACCAAGCTGAGGTCGTGGGATGCGGACTACAGAGCCGCACTAATTAACAATTATGGTGCCTCTGGTTCTAATGCGTCCATGGTGGTCACTCCGCCACCACAACCAAACCGGGCTGCTCTATCGCCCATTCACGCCCCGGGCATCAAGCATCCGTTCTGGCTCTGTGGCCTAGACGACAAGGCTCTCATTGCCTATAGCAAAAGGCTACGCCACTTTATAGCCCACAAGACGTCGTCGTATTCATCAACAGCTACGATTAGTCTGGCCAACCTGTCGTTCAATGTCTGCCGCCAATCCAACCGCCATCTTGACAGGGCTCTTATGTTCAGTTGCAGCAGCCTGGGCGAGCTCGATGAGAAGCTGGCTCTTTTCATCGATGGCGACGCCAAACTCGGATCCACATCGACAAAGACAATCACAAAGCGACGGCCGGTGATTATGTGTTTCGGTGGACAGGTGTCCAGCTTTGTGGGCCTCGACAGGCAGGTATACGACAGTGTCAAAATCGTTCGCGACTATCTCGACCAGTGTAACGCTGTCTTCCTGTCCATCGGCCTCGAGGGCATCTTCCCAGCCGTTTTCCAACGGGAACCCATCGAAGACCCGGTTCGCCTCCAGACGGCGCTGTTTGCGGTGCAGTACGCGTGTGCCAAAAGCTGGATGGATTCGGGCATCCAAGCGGAAGCCGTTGTTGGACACAGCTTTGGCGAACTGACCGCTCTTTGCGTCTCGGGCGTGCTGTCACTTCTCGACGCGTCCAAGATGATTGTGGCCAGAGCCAAGCTTGTGCGGGACACGTGGGGTTCAGACAGAGGAGCCATGGCAGCCGTGGAAGCTGATTTGGACATGGTCAGGTCCGCCATCGAGTCACATAACCGGGCTATGGTTGATGATGAGCTTCCCGTCACCATCGCTTGCTACAATGGACCTCGGAGCTTTACCTTGGCCGGGCCGACCAAATCCATGGACAAATTCGTCGAGACCCTGACGGGCAGTCCCATGTACTCGCCTGTGATGAGGGTAAAACGGCTGAACGTCACCCACGCCTTCCATTCGGTTCTGGTGGAGCCACTCATCGATGAACTGGACGCCATCGGCCGCACTCTCACCTTCCGGGAACCGAGCATCCTCTTGGAAAGGTCGACCAAAGAGTTAAACTTGGAGACGACGTCCGAGTTCGTCGCTCAGCACATGAGGCAGCCTGTCTTCTTCGAGCATGCCGTGAAAAGATTAGCGGAGCAATATCCAGACGCAGCCTGGATCGAGGCCGGGTCGGCTTCGACAATTACCAACATGGCAAGTCGTGCCCTTGGATCGCCCTCGACCTACCACTTCCAGTCCCTTAACATCACCTGTGATCATGGCATGAAGAGTTTGGCCGACGCCACTCTGGCGCTCTGGAAGGCAGGGGTCGAGACCGCGTACTGGCCACACCATCCTGGCCAGACATACGAGTTTGACCACTTGTTCCTCCCGCCGTATCAGTTCGAGAAGGTGAAACACTGGATGGACCTGAAGAAGCCGCAGAAGGGCCTGGTTGAGCTTCCGGCAGCTGAGGCGGGGAATGTAGAGGCGAGAGTCCCTGTCGGGCTCTGGTCATTCCTCGGTTATGACGACAGCAAGGAACAGACCGCCCGCTTCGTGGTCAACACCGATAGCAAGAAATATCACGACTTTGTCTCAGGACACTTGATTGCCAATACCGCACCCATATGCCCCGCCACGCTTGAGGTGGACATGGCTATCGAAGCCCTGATGAGCATCCGACCAGACCTCAAAACGGACGGCATGCAGCCTACTATCCAAAACTTGCAGAACCACTCCCCCATTTGCGTCGACCCATCGCGGCAGGTCTTCATCGTGTACACGGCTAGTGACATCCGTGGACATGTGTGGGAGTGGAAGATGACGAGCTCCCCGGCCCAGGGACCGGGTCCCACGACCGAGCACGTCCACGGCAGCATCGTGTTCCGCTCCCCCGAGGACCCGGGCTACCAAGCCGAGTTTGGCCGTTACGGGCGACACTTCACGCATCAGCGTTGCCTTGACGTGCTCAACGCGGTCGAGGCCGACGATATAATCCAGGGTCGCAACATCTACAAGACCTTCGCTGAAATCGTCGACTATGGCGAACAGTACCGCGGCCTAAAGCGGCTAGTGGGACGCGGCAGTGAGTGTGCTGGCCGAGTTTCCAAGCGCTGGACGGGGGAGACGTGGCTTGATACACATCTCTCCGACTGCTTCAGCCAGGTCGGCGGCATCTGGGTCAACTGCATGACCAACCGCGCGCCTGATGACATGTACATTGCGAGCGGGTGCGAGCTCGTCATACGGTCTCCCAACCTACGCCCCGACGGCCCACGTCCCGAAATATGGGATGTGTTCGCGACCCATCACCGGGTATCTGACAAGCTGTACGTAACTGATATTTTCACCTTTGACAGCACCAGTGGGGAGTTGCTAGACGTCATGATCGGCATTAAGTATGCCAAAATCTCCAAACCGTCGATGCAAAAGATCCTCGCGCGGCTATCGCCTGGCGTTTGCGTACCACCACCTCCCGGTTTGGGGACCGCGCCAGTTACTCACAACAAAACGAGCCGGGAGCCCATCGAGCCATCCGAAGCTTCCGGAGCAGTGCCAACAGCAACTGGTGCAACCGTCTCCAAATCCTTCAAGGCTGGTGGCGCAGAAGTATCAAAGAAACAACCAGAAAATACCAGAGCGAACATCAAAAAGCAGGTGCGGGACCTGCTAGCGAACGTTGCCGGCGTTGAGCCCGCGGACATTTCAGAAAGTACTGTTCTCTCCGATATCGGTATTGACTCACTGATGGGCATGGAGCTTGCCCGGGAGGCCGAGACCGTTATGAAGTGCACCTTGTCGCCCGACAAGCTGATGGAGGCCTTTGACTTTCCCTCCTTCGTCGATTGTGTGATATCCGCCCTAGGCATCACTGCTGATGGCCAGGAAGAGGAAATGGAAGAGGAGCAGGATGATAAGCAAGAGAAGGAGGAGGGGGCACGGCAAAGAGTGCAGGAGTCCGAACCAACGACCGATGATGAACAGTATCGTCCATACAAGGCGCAGGACGCATCATGGAGCCAATCCAGCGGGACTTCGACGCCTCCATCCTCTCTCGATGACGATCTTAACGAACTGACTCTTCCTGCGGGTGCGGTCCTAGAGTCCTTCGGCAAGACTAAGCTTCTTACTGACGAGATGATTCGCCGGTACAAGGTCGACACGTTTGCCAATGTCATTGCCCCAAAGTCGACCCAGCTCTGCATTGCGCTCACGCTCGAGGCTTTTGAGAAACTGGGTGTGTCGATCCGAGCTACCAAAGCAGGTCAGGTGGTGCCCCGAATCAACTACGCACCGCAGCACCAGAGGCTAGTCGACTACCTGTACCGCTTGCTAGAGAACGAGGCCAGGCTGATCGATAGCACCGACCGCGGGGAACACGTCCGCACGGCAGTATCGCCGCCTAAGAAGGCGAGCGTGGCCTTGTTGCAGGACCTGGTCCGCCTGTACCCTGACTGGAGCAACGCGCAAAAGCTTACGCACTTTGCGGGATCCAGGCTGGCCGACGTGCTGGAGGGTAAGACGGATGGTATCAAGATCATCTTCGGCAGCGACGAGGGGCGCGCCTTGGTGGGCGGTCTGTACTGCGACCACGTCTTTAATAAGATGAACTATCAGCAAATGGCCGATTGTCTGGAGGGCCTCGTCTCCAAACTCCCGGCCGACCAGGGCCCGCTGAGAATCCTGGAGCTGGGAGCGGGAACTGGGGGGACCACGCTGTATGTGGCACCCATGCTGGAACGCTTACAGGTGCCCGTTGAGTATGTGTTTACCGACATATCGCCGTCGATGGTGAGCGCCGCCAAGAAGAAGTTTGGAAAGTACGCTTTCATGAAGTATATGGTTCATGACATGGAGAAACCCATGTCGGCCGAGCTTCTCGGTACCCAGCACATCGTAATAGCCAGCAACGCCGTCCATGCAACGCGTGACCTCGTCAAGACGGGCACCAACATCCACAACGCGCTGCGGCCCGACGGGTTCCTGATGATGTTGGAAATGACCGAGATTGTCCCTTTTGTCGACACCATTTTTGGCTTACTCGAGGGATGGTGGCTGTTTGACGACGGACGACAGCATGCCATCACCGGCCCCGAGGGCTGGGAAAAGGCTATGCACAGCGCTGGGTTTGGTCATGTCGATTGGACCGATGGACACCTGCCTGAGAGTAAGATCCAGAAAGTCATTGTTGCCATGGCTTCCGGCCCAGTGCAGGAACGGCTCCCTCCACCGCCCCCGCCCGCCCGAAAGGCCGCGGAATCCGGGCCGGATCTCGCTAGCCGGGAAGAAGATATCTCGGCTTACGTACAAAAGTTCAGCGCAGGCTTTAAGGCCCCCTCGGTTGTCTTGCCCAACCCGGGCCGTCTCGGGGGTGGAAAGTTGCAGTGCGTGCTGATCACCGGCGCGACGGGGAGCCTCGGGACCCATCTCGTCAAGGCGTTTGCAGAGAGGGCGGATGTGGGAACCGTAATTTGCCTCAACCGGCCGGGGCCAAGCGTCGCCGTTCCACCCGAGTCACGACAGCTGGAAGCGATGGCCGCCCGGGGTGTCACCATCAACGACGAAGCCCGGGCCAAGCTCTGCTTCATTGAGACGGACAGCTCCAAGGCTCGCCTTGGCCTCGGCGAGGAGGAGTACGCATCACTGGCTGGGTCCGTCACCGGGATTCTGCATAATGCCTGGCCCATGAGTGGTAACAGGCCTCTCAAAGCCTTCGAGCCGGCCTTCCACTCGCTCCGAAACCTTATTGATCTCGCACGCGAGGCCGCCGGGCGTCAGCAGAAGATCCGCTTCCAGCTCATATCGTCTATCGGCGTCGTGGGTCATTATCCCTTGTGGAGCGGGAAGATCAGAGTGCCAGAGGAACGTATGGAGGTTCGGTCTGTGCTTCCCAACGGCTATTGCGATGGCAAGTTTACGTGCGAACGCATCCTGGACGAGACCCTCCACCGCTACCCGGAATACTTCCACACCATGTCGGCCAGGCTCGGTCAAGTGGCCGGGTCCAAGACAAGCGGGTATTGGAACCCCGTGGAACATTTTTGTTTCATGGTCAAGTCTTCCCAGAACTTGAGGGTGCTTCCACAACTCGAAGGGGTAAGTGTTACTCGAGTGCCTGCCACCGCTATTGATGACTTTGGAGGGAAGAACGGCCCCAGCTAACGTATGCCACGCAGAACCTCACCTGGTGTCCCGTCAACGACATGGCGTCGGCCCTCTCCGACCTCCTGCTTCTCCCCTTCCGGCCGCAGCCAATCTACCATATTGACAATCCGGTGCAGCAACCCTGGAGCGAGATGGTACGGATGCTGGCTAAGGCGCTCGATATTCCCCAGTCTAACATCATCCCCTTCGACGACTGGGTGGCCCGGGTCCGCCGCTCCCCGTTGGCACCCGAGACGGACAACCCGGCTGCGCGACTGATCGACTTCCTCGAGTTCCATTTCCGACGTATGTCTTGTGGTGGTCTGCTTCTTGATCTCTCCAAGGCCTGCCATGACTCGCCGGCCCTGGCAGCGGTGGGGCCGGTAAACGAGGATATGGTGAGGAAATACGTCTCATCTTGGAAGAAGATGGGCTTCCTAGCCCAAGGTAATAGGTAACACGGCGCGTCTGGCGACTTTCAGGGATTTCGAAGTCCCTGGGGTGCAGGAAAGAAGGGCCAGCCCGAGCTGAGGGATATTTTTGGCTACACCCCTACCTGATCTGTTACATGTAGTCACAATGCACGTTAATTACTACGGTAGCTAGATCGGGGACTGAACACCGAGGGAGTGCTTCAACATCACGTCCTTTGCCAAGATAAGACAATGAATCAGTACACACGATAACTAAGCCTATCAGTGTGTTGCTGCCAGGCATTTGTTGTATGTACGTACAGTTCCGTACCAGGCCACTAGGTAGCCGATCAAGTGCTAGGTCGGTCGCCTTTATAAGGCTGGCCAAAGTGCGATCCCGTTGGTGCCCTACGTAAATATGCCACGCGATCGACGATGCGGATAACCTGCGTTGCGGTACCGATGGATTTGTCCCTTTTTCCCAACCCTTTCGAACTTTCATGTTCCTCCAAATTTCTCCACGTCGGCAAAAACTTCAGCTCGTTTGTTCCTTCCCAGCCTGCCCCAACGCAAAAGGTTGTGTCACGCGAGCGCCAAGATGGCCCTGGCGTTTGCTACACGCGGCTGGTATTGAAAGGAGGGACGAAGAGGGCACAAAACTAAAACATTTTACTTGGCCTGCGTTGGCCTTCTCTCAAACTTCAAGCTTGCTAACTCTCGCCATGCACCTTAGCCATTACACTATTGAGGAGTCGTCAAAAATAGGGAGTGATGTTGCCTAGTGATGGCATGGTACGCGTATGTGTGTACCAAATTGTTCGTGTTGGCCCCTTGGCCCTCTGGACCCCTGCAACGCCCCGATGTTCGGGCGAGTTCCATCCATTTCCAGGCGGGACTCGGAAAATTTGATGCCCGGAGTTCCCTAAGGCAGGTACCGAGGTGATGCCGAATAAACCTTCTCCAGCCCTCCAATCATCCAACTACTGGGTATGGCGGCGAGCCTCAACGGTACAGTACGTCATTCCGACTCACACGGCTCATCGGTGATCAAAGGCGGAAATCCGCTGGCATCTTCAATTGACCGTGGTTGATGTGATGTTGAAACCATGTAGCTAAGGTAAGGTACCTAAGGTATCTAAGGTATCATTCGACTTCGAGGGCGAAATCAACAACTCGAACCTTACTTGTAGATTGCACTGCTTCGTTATGCACCCGGGGGCACGGTGCTGAGATTGCTGACGTGATTCAGATCCCGCGGCGGTTCATGTTGTCGGCGTGGCCAGTCTGGTCCTATCTGCGAGACATCGCGTCAGTGATGCTGCTGTTTTACGATAATACGAGCTGCGTAGGTACTTCGTACATACCAGGGGCTCGGATCCCGATGATTCCGCGACATTTCCGACTTTTGTCTCTCCCCGGGCACGGTCTGTCTGGATGGAGGCTGGAGCCGCCTTTCCTCTTCTCGCCCGAGCCAGTAGGTAAGGTACCATCCGGTTCCGCTGTGTGGTACCTCTGTACGGACAGGTGGTGAGCCATCCCGTGCCCGAACCCTTCTTTCTTCTGCGCACGCTTAGGCGGTTTCCGTTTTGGGGACACGGCAACATCTTGTACGGTTGCACCCAACACCGTGGGGGCAATGGAACCTGGATCATACGATGGGGTAGGCGCTTCGATTGGGAGCCAGCAGAGCAGGCGACTTGCCTGTGAGAGGTGCCGCGGTCAGAAACTCAAGTGCAAAAAGTCCGATGTTCCCGATTGCTGTCAGCGTTGCAGGAAAGCAGATGTGCAGTGCAGCTTTGAACTAGCTCTTCCACCGGGACGAAGACGACGACGACGGCCTCGTGCCGATCCTCCTTCGCAGTCCACCAAAGCCGAGTGGGCGGCCATGTCTGCATCAGCCGCCATGGATGTGGTGGCGGCGACGACGGACACGACGACTTCCAACCCCACCATGAACAACCACTGGAACCCGGCCATGGATGTCACAGTGGTGCAGCCCTACCACGCCAGCGAGAGGCCAGATTCTCGGTGCTCCGTAACCGCACCTAGCGATCCGTTCGAGGACGACGGCGTCATAGATAGTTTGCTCCACGCCGACGATGCCTTGGCGGGGGGGTTGGACCCGTCATTCAGAGATCAAGTCGCAGCCTGGTCTGCGGCCTTGACGGGCGACGGAATAAAACACTGGGACGGGTTGGCCATGGCAGACCATTCGCACCACGCCATAGGAAATTCCGCGGATGAGCAGCCCCTGGCGGTTGGGACCGCTGAGTTTAGGCCGGCGCATGTGACCACGTCAAGACATCCACCGACCACACCGCCCATCCGGTCGCAACCACAATTGACAACTTCACCGGCATGCATACATGCGTCTGCGCTACGTGAACAGAACGAGTACCAAACAGTCAAGGGTAGTTTGGCTGCACTGGTGCGGAGGGCGGCCGAGCTCTGTGACAATATGTACGACCTCCGCATCAGGTACCACGACGGCCACAGCGAGCTGGACCCCCCTGGCCATTTCCCTATACATATGTCGGGCGAGGTGCTTAAAGCAGCCGACGCTTTCCTCCGCCTACTTCGTTGTTTCTTCTCGGACGAACACCGCGGCTGTTCAACCCCCACTCTTGTGCCCGACCCCCCGCCGTCGACAGGGCCATACTCCTCCTCCCTTGTGCCAGGACAGACGCGGCGCGTCGCTCACGTCGCCGACAGGCCCGCCGCCCTGACGCTGATCGCGAGCTACCGACGACTTCTCGACCTGTACCTGCTCTACTATCAGGGCGTGTACGAGTACGTCCGCGACACGGATTCGGCCCGGCGCCGGAACCAACCCATCTGGAAGGACTTGAGCGTGGGCGGCGCGCCGCTCCGCGACTTTGGCGACCTGCACATCAAACTTGTCATGCAGGCGGCGGCGCGCGTGCTGGAGGACATCGAGGGCGCCCTCGGCCTCGCGGAGGGATGTCGTGTCAGCCGTAGGTCGGTGGATGAAGCTGGCAGCGGCGGGGACGGGATTCTGGGCACAGTCGTGACGTCTCGCTTCGTCGAACAGTGCATTGCCGAGGGAGCCACCGGCGGCTCTGAGCAGGGGCCCGGTATCACGGCCCGCATAAGAGACATGGCAGCCGGGTTGGCGGCGCTTCTCGATGCGCCTGATATCGAGCGCTCTAGCTACCTGTTTTAATCAAGCTGGAAAGAATAAGTGGTCGTGCAAGGGGGAGTCTCGTTCCAGGCCGGCCTGGCGTCACCCATGTGCTTGACGTTTTGCAACCACGCTGACAGGTTGCTGCACGCCCTTGTGCGGAGACCTTACCAAAGTCAATAGCAACGGTTCTGAGATCATCAGAGGGGATCAATAGTCGAGAAAGGGGCCTTCAACCCCCCAGAACGGGCCCTCCGGTCCGTGAAACATGTATGTACATACTTAGATATTGTATATACGGGCGCAAAACTTGCGAGCTATTACTTCGGCGCGCGTCGGACGTCGTTGGCGGAAACGGAACAAGCTAAATCATTCGACGAAACAAGACGTTACCCATTCCAACCGCTAGTGAGATCAAGCCCAAGGTTTTGGAAGTTGCCCTGCAAAGCCCCCAAGCAACAGTCAAACGGTAGTGAGGCAATTCGATTTTTATTATCATTTTAGCGGAGGGGTCGACCCCGGTAGCCGAGGTCTCCTTATTCACCGTTCAATAACGATAAATCCCAAGGCATGTTAATGAGGTAAGTACTAGGTTGTTTGTATATTCACCGCGTGCCATGTCATCGATCCCGCGTCCAAGTGGATACCGCTGTCTTGTAGATCAGACGTCCAACCCATCCGGCACCAGGACGACCTTGGCTGCCATCGTTCAAGCGCGGTCACTATATACATTGCATCGCGTCACGCTCGCGAGATCACTTGTAACCCCAGCATTTGCAGATCCGGCTAGATCCATAGCAACCTCACTTAGACACCGGAGTCATCCTGCACAAACGTCTTGGAGAGAGACGATTCGGACCATGCCCTACAACCCGCTCTAACTTCATCCAAGCCACCGACGTATGCTTGGTTCCAGGCCTCGTCCCTGTGCCAAATCAAGATCTGCGCCGTCAGCCCCGAGCTGGCGTGTGACGCAATATGACAGTGCAACAGCCAGGCGCCTGGGTTGTTGGGTCGGAAGGCCAGCGCCACGAAACCAGTGTGGGATAACATCACCGTGTCGCGCCGGGGCGGGTTGTCGTAATTGAAGGATTTGGGCCCGGTCACCGGGTCCCACGGCACCGTCTCCTGCGCCAGCACCGCAAAATCGGTGCCGTGAAGGTGTAATGGATGGTTCGATCTAAGTGCATTATTTAGTGGATGGTTCAGGAGATCTACAAGGCGGCGCTTGGGCGACACCTACGCAAGGAGCGGGTTTCCGTCAATAATCAGATAAATGAAGCCCAGGTCGTAGTCCTCTAAGAGGTATAATTAGCATAAGCTACGGGTAGCTAATAGAACCTGCCAAAGTCAAGCAAACCGACCGTGTCATCTCGGAAACCAGGGTTACCTCGGGCATAATGGGGAAACCTACCTTGGGTAGCAGCATAGTTCACGTTGTCGAGTGAATAGTCAGGGTTTAAGATGGTCGGCCTGCTAAAGTCTAGCCACATCGGGTGCTCGCCGAGTGTCCAATGCTTGTACCAGGGGGGACCGAGATGGCTCGTCAGGTTTGCTTGTTTAGTAGCAGTATAGTTAAGGACGGACTTTGGGTGTACGTCAACCGTCCAAGGAACCATGGGGTGGAGCAGGCGAGCGGGTACGTCCAGGCAGGTGACTTCAAACGGCATCGGCCGGTCGAGAGTCGGAAGCCTCTGCTCGGCGCCATCGTAGTGTACAATAGCCGTCCTGTTATCAGTGACAGCGGCATTCCAGCCGCCGCACTCTGTGCCGGTTCGGATCCAGTAGCTAGCGTCATGGTTAGCTTTCGGCTTTCCTTCGACCACGATAGTATACCGCTGGCCGGGGCTGATGGTAAGTGACGGCACTGTCACGGGCTCGATGGCAACCAGGTCGTTAGCGATAATGGTTAGGTTATGCGCGTCGATAGAAAAGATAATGGGATAGTTGAAGCCAGTATTGACTAGCTGCAGCCGGTGTTTTTTTCCAGGCGTAAAGGTCGTCTCCCAGTATGATCCAGCACAATGGTTCCCGGGCGCAGCCGCGCTGCAGTTGAAGTGCCCATGGCCGTTAACCAGGATGCTGTCCACATAAAACGCATCGCCGGGAATCTCCATAGAGGTGAAGCCGTGAAAGGCGGTATCGTGCATCCAATCCGTGAGTAATACTGGGCCAAGGTCAACGTCCCAGTCGTGGCTAGACGGACCGTGAATTACCAGCGGGCCAACGACGCCATCGGCGTACTGCATCGAGTAGTGGCTGTGATACCAACTATGACCGTACTGCGTGGCCCGGAACCTGTAGGTAAATGTATCCCCGGGTGCGATCGGGCATTGTGTGATGCCGTTCACGCCGTCCATCTGGTTTGTGTTGAGCTGCCGCATGCCGTGCCAGTGAACTGTAGTGCCGTTTCCTGTACGCGAACCAAGTCAGGCCGACGGACCATGTCCTACTCTCTCAGAGCATTCTCACCGAAGTGGTCGTTGTTTGTGACGTGTATCACAAGTTCGTCGCCCCAACATGCCTCGATCAGGGGGCCAGGGTAGGTGCCGTTGAAATATTGGCCGTTTGTTTTGGGGTGGCCATCCGGCGTGAGCTGCAGGATGTCAGCTTGTCGTTCAACAGATGAGCTTCGAGTCCGCGTTGTACAGACCTGAGGATTGGCCCCGACCTCGAGCCAATATTCTCTCGTCACCCCAGGAGGGTACTCCTCTTCATCTGAATATGTGTTAACGAGCGATTCATGGTCTCGGCGCTGGGGACAAACCAAAGGCTACTGACAGTCGGTCAAAATGTCAAACTGTGAAATGGATTCGTCACTGCTTCCAGTGTTACGTTTTCGAATCCAGCAGTCTCTTCTTGTAGGAGTGTTGCATGATTCCCAGTCATCTGGGTATTGACACCCATTTGACAATGATAACCCAGGGTGCTGGGTATCCTGAAGGTCCTGTTGCCCCTGGACACCTAGGAAGCCCGCCGAAATCGCCAGCGCAAACCGGATTGTCGTCTTTATCCAACCCATCGTGCCTCGAGGTTGTTTCCAGTCAGTATTGAGGCCGTTTCCCGCTCCGTGTCTTGCTTGTAATGGAGACTACCTATTTATCTAGCTTTGTATATTAAGACGACGGATGCAATTGGATTCCATCACTCAGGACCCAGTACCTCAAAAACATCCAACCCCTGAGCCACAGCGACTACTTGGAAATCAGGAGCCCAACCAGCTTCTCGTAAACCCTCCTAGCTTGTGTAGGCGAAGTCGACCCGACTGCTGCCGAATGTGGCTTTCACATGGTCCCAAAAATGTCTCGGAGGCCAACCAACATGATCTCTACGGAATCCCCACTCAGCTCAAGTCTTCGGATAGCTTGACGGGATCGAATGATGTCCGCAGCCTTCCAGGATGCTTAGAAAGCGTATTTTCCCTCGGAGCTCGCACTTCGGGGTGTTTAGGTAAGGAACCCGAATCATCTACAACCTTTACTGCCCCGTATAAGCACATGGACAGTCGGTCGGATAGGAAAACCATTACATGTCTCGGGTGACCCGGCTCACCTTTTGACCGCCGCCGCCACATTTATTTTCGTAACGCCGATCGAAGGAGAATTAGTGTGCAGTCCTAAGAAACGATGAATAAAGTTTAGGGTTCAACCAGTCTCGCTAGGCCTCACCTGTTTGTCACCATCACGCCCGAGCTTGTCAGGTTTAATTATCATGGGTCCCCGAACACGAGACTTGCTGTTCTGCGCCGCCGTATCTGCCGTTGCTGTTGCGGCTGCGTCTTGCGCGGCTCCATGCAGTTCGAGCGCCGACCTGCCGCTACCCGTCAGGACGGTCTACCAGTTCGACTCAGAGACATGGATTGAGAACCTTGCGGTGCGGCCAAACGGCGACCTCCTTCTAATTGTTGACGAGAATGTCACATTCCCGGAACACACCGTTGCGCTTTACCGACTCAGTAACCCCGTGTCACCGGAGCCCGAGCTCTCCCTGGTATATGCCTTTCCTCTTGGCACGGTTCTAGGAATTGCCGAGATCGAGCCCGAAGTCTACGCAGTGCTGGCCTCAAACTTCACCGGCAACTTCGCCGCCATTCCCGGAACGGCGAAGCTGTTCACGTTTGACTACAACAACGGCGATCAACCAACCATGAGTGCAGGTGGCTACCATGCCCAACGCCACCATGGGCGCCGACGGTCTCGCGGCCCTCCCGGGCTCCCCCGATACCGTGCTAGTGGCCGACATGTATGCGGCCCTAGTCTGGGCCGTCAACATCACCACGGGCGCCACCACAATCTTCGCGCAGGTACCCGAGATGGCCCAGGTCCGTAACCAGACCAACATGGGCATCAACGGGTTACGTGTGTTCCGTGGCCATCTGTACTTTACAAACAGCGACCTCCGATCGGTGTACCGTGTACCACTAGACGGCTGCGGCTCGGGAGGTAAACCCAGAATCCCGGGCTGAGATGGTAGCGAACCTGACGTCTTTGTCACCCGTCTTTATCGACGACTTTACCATCGGGAGGAGATGGCACGCTATGGGTCACATCCAGCGGGCCCCAAAACGTGATGGTAGCGGTGCGGCCGAACGGTCAGGGCGGCTACCGGGAGCCTGTGGTGGCCGCTGGAGCCATAAATAGCACCGCTATTCAGGGAGACGTGGGTGCGGCGTTTGGGAGGGGGCCCTCGGACCGGGACGTCTTGTACGTTGTTACTAACGGTGGCCTGTGGGGGGCTGGGCTGGGCCTGAATCAGACCGCTACGGAACCTGGGAAGGTTGCGGCGATTGACACTAGGTGTTTCTAACCCAGTCTCTGCATACAGAGATAATGATTGTGTTTTCACATTGTGTGTGGTCGAGCGATGCAAGGGGGGAGGGGGGGGCAATGGCGAGGGAACGGCCTGGGATATGAGTGCTATCAAGATAGAAAGCTCATGACGCTCGTTTATATCGACACAATAATGGCCTTTGACGCTCTACGGTGCAGGACGAAAACTTCAGACATACCATTACCATATATTCCTAGGTATTCTTAACTTCTAAATTATGGCCTCCAAGGGTAAATACTTGCAAGCGAAGGGTGGGTAAGGCAGTTGATAGCGGTTAGATCGGCGGGTAAGAACTGCAAACGTCCCCCCTGGTTTCATTTTTCCTTTGGTCAAAGCACCAACCTAGAAACCTTTGCGTACATGTGCGCGTGGGCCCCTGACGCTAATCAGGGCCTTATTCACAAGGTGAGGTTACGGTGGCAGAGAACTTGTATTACGCGGAACAGAAGTAACAAGCCTTCCCCATCTTCGTCCTAACATCCATATTCTAGAGGCGTTGAACCTCCTATAGCGTTTGTATCATCGTCCATATCTCTGCTATCCGGGTTCGCACTTACAAGACGTACACGAGCTTTTCAGCAGACACACGGTCACTCTTCAACTCGGACAATCCTTCCTGCACACCTTGTAATCCTCCAGGCCGCAAGTGCACCAACGGGCCCAACCTTAGGCGGTCCTGGAACAGCAATGCACTGGCGAGCTTCCAGAAACGAGTGGCAAACTCCAGATCTGCAGCGTTGGCCTCACGCAGCGGGCCGGCAAGATGGGTCCCTTCACCGAAGGAAGAATAGCCAGAAGTCCAGCCGTGTTGCACGTCGTCGCGGGGAAACACATCACCGAGGGGCAGGGAGGCAGTATACCGCGCCACACCGGACCCACGGGAAGTCAGGGCTTCGGCACATATACGGTGGCTGTTGCCCTCGGCGACGCAATCGAGGGCGAACATAAGTCCGTCGCCTGTTGCCGCGCGAATGGCTGGCCCGCATGTCTCGGCGTCGTGGTAGTCGAACGTATGGTGTGCCCCGAGTGCCTTGACGAGTTGGGAGTTGCGTGGCGAGCAGGTCGTCAACACCCGGCAACCCGAGAGCCGTGCCAGCTGCAGGGCTATCATTCCGGTGGCGGTGGCGCCGCCATAGATCAACACTGACGGGCCGAGTTGTCGGGGTTGAAAATCCCCCGACTCCGAAAAGGGGGGCAGCGGCAGTCCCAACGAACGGTACAGTGCTTGCTCCGTTAGCGTTCTATCCATTCTGCAAGTTGCATGCATCGATCCTAGCTGATGTTAGGCTTTGTAAAGGAAACCAATGAGGGCGTACCAAGGCCACTAAAGTTGATCCCGACGGCTATGGTCGCCGCTTCGGCATCACTGACGTGTTCGGGCACGCGCATGGACAAAGCACCCTTCAGGAGAGCATACTGGCCAAACGCACCGCTGGACGGATCTCCGGGTTTCATGCCGTAGCACAACCCGGCTACCCGGTCCCCTGGCACGTAGTCTTGATCGACGTTGCCCCCACAGAGGACGACGCAGCCCGCAACGTCGCAGCCCATCGTGTGCGGGCTGCTCTCCCCGAAAATGGCAAGTCGTTTATGGTCGGTCGGATTCAGAGCAACGCTCAAAACTCGGATCAATAGGTAGCCTGGGCGCACCGTTGGCACCGGCGTCGTCGGGTCCAAGTAGAGTCGGTTGGGACCACGCGTCCTAACTGCCACCATAGTGTCGGGGATTTTCGGAGCATCCGTCATGTTGCCGAGGCCTAGTTCGTAGTGCCGCCGCTGCTCTCGTCTTTGAATTGGTCCTGAAATGTAAACCAAACAGGACTTTTTGGAAGGGGGCCAGACACCTCCTTATCCTTCAAGCCCCGGTTCCACGCCCCGAATCTGTTTTAGCTTTTGGCCACTACATCTCAACGCCTTTCGATACGTACCTACCTAACCTGCTCTCGTTGGCTCCCATGGCCTGGGCGGAGACACAGCCTGGCCTTTGGCAAAGGCCGCTCGGTGAAAATGAATCTATGATCAAAATGATCGGCGATATGGGTCGGGCGTCGGGTAAGGATGTGTGGTCCATCTCGGCAGCGGCACGTTTTGCTGCTTCTGTCGAGCCCAAGCCCTTAACACAAGCCTTGCGAGACGGATGGGCTGCGCTCCGCTTCCGACACCCATCCATTGCAACCACTGCTGACGGCGACACCCTACAATATCACGTCCCTGATGCCCAACGACTGACAAGATGGCTGGATGAAACCTTCATCGTGGTGCGCGGCGAATCCAGCATCGACGGTATTCTGGGCACGCTTCCGCCACGAGCATCCGCATGTTGTTATTACCTTGAGGATGCTACGGAGGTGATATTGCAGCTCTCGCACTGGCGCACTGATGGTATTGGGGCCTTTTACCTATTAGGGGCTTTGCTCAAAGCGACCATCGACCACCTGAGGGATGAGCCACATCACTTCGCCTGGGGCCAGGAGACAGTTCGGCTTGTCCCTAGCGTCGAATGGGCTCTGAAATTACCAAACAGGCCAACGGAGGCCATCGAAATGGCCACAAAAGCATACCTGAATACTTTGAGCCATGCCCACGGTGCTCTGGGCATCCCGTCGCAACCCATGCCAGCTGCACAAGCTGCAAGATTACCCACGCTCTGCTTTTCCGTGAATAAGACGGCCGAGCTGCTGTCAGCGTGCTCCCAACGGGGCATTCGCTTCGAGTCGGCGCTGCACGCCTCGGTGACAGCCGCAGCGTACTCGATAGCGGGACCCGCCACAGCGTCGGGGAGCAACCATCACAGCAGCACCCTACGCCACAGCCTCCGGCCACATCTTCCCGCTCCGTACCACGGTGTGGCCGGCGCTGCCGGACTCTACACAGCTGCCTACTTTGCCAAAGTACCGGGCACCCAGTCCTGGCTAGACAACGCCCGGTACTACGAGACCGAGTATGCCAATGGCGCCTCCCCGGATCTGGTGTGTTCCCGGCGCCAATACGCGCTTGAAATGAAAGCCATCATAGCCAGGGCGGCTTCTGATAATCGAGATCCGCCACCGGGAGGCCTGGACATGTCGTGGGTCCCTGGAGTGCAGGACCTCGTGGATACAATCTATACGGAAACCCCGAATGGGCGCTTCCTACGGGTTGAACGGGTAAGCATGAGCGTTGATGTGCTGTCACGACACATCTACGTGTTTGCGTGGATCTTTAACGGCCAGATCCAGTTTCGGCTGGCCTTCAATAAGGCTTTATACGATGAGGGATTTGGCGACAGGATATTAGCGCTGGTAGCGCAACACTTGACCTCCAATCTGCTATGATCGTGCACTCGGCTCCGCACCTTAGTTTCCTACCTAGATATCAAAGTTGTGGACGATCCATTACTGTGCAGCAATTGCTAGTCTGAACTTGTGACACCTAGGTAGATACCTATCCTGAGTTACGGAGTGATCTCTACGTAGATAGGTAGCCTGCCACGGCCGGGCACTGTCTCTTTACATGGAGGAAAGAAAATGGGTAAACTCTCTTTTCGCCTCGACCAGCATGTTCTCCATGTCAAAGTGCCAGATCTTGTGAGCACGCCACTCGATGTCCCGCAGGCATTTCTCGGGGTCGCTGCCGCAGTCGGGGTTGGCCCATTCGTATGTCTTGCACACCTCGCGTGAGCTGCGGACCAGCCATTGTGTGCGCTCCCGACGAACAGCATTGTACGCCGCCAACGCGGCCGCCACAGTGGCGCCCTTCCTCCTCTCCCCGTCCTTGCGGTTGCCCTGCCTGGTGATTTCCTCGGCGGCCAGTTCCAGCACCGTGGCCAAGGCCAGCCCGTCCTCAATACCCATGCCCGCGCCGGCGCCATGATGCGGCGATGCCGCGTGTGCCGCATCCCCAGCAATGCACACACTACCCGAGGCGTACGTAGGCGCCGGGTGCTCGTACGTATCAAAGATAGCCCACTTGTCGAGCTTACCACCCTCCTCCACCCCCGCCTCTAGCAGCAGGCCGGTGATGGCGCGCACGGCGGGCCGCCAGCCGGCGAAAGCGGCGCGCACCTCGTCCCCGGTCGCCGGCGCCACCATCGCCCCGGGGCTACCACCACCCTTCTGCTGCGCCCAGCCGCCCGGCGCCGCCGGCGCAAACGCGACGATGTTCATCAGCGTATGCTGCGCCACGGGGAACGTGAGCAGGTGGGCCCCCGGCCCCGTGTGCATGCACTGGTTGTGGGCTTTGTCCTTGCCCAGTACCGCTACCGCCCGTTCCATGCTGACCAGCCCCCGGAAGGCAATTTGGTTGGCGAAACTGGGGTACGAGGCCGGGTTGCTCTCGCCGAAGAGCACTTGGCGAACGCGCGACTTGATGCCGTCGCAGCCTATGACTGTGTGCCGATGACAAGGGAGATATCTTGGTTAGACTACGTGTCTTCAAGATCTGTCATGATGTAGCTGTGGGGGAACCTGGGACGGACGCGCCGGCACTTACTGACGTCGGCGGTGGCTGTCGAGCCATCCTCAAACCGGAGAGTAAACTCTTCCAGCTCCTCATCAAAGGTGTACGTTTTGAAACGTTTCCCAAACGCCACCATGTCTTTAGGCACATGCTTGACCATTTCGTCTAGGAAGTGGGCGCGATGACAGGCGTCGAAGCCCGTCGTCCCAGCATGTAACTGGTAAAGCTGCGTCTCGCTGAGGTCGGCATCGTCGTCCGTTTGGCCTGGTCCGCATCGATACCCATCCACATACGTGTAGTAGGCACTCTCATTCTTGGTCGAGACGGCCTGCATAGCCTCCAGAATGACCGGGTTGAGCTGCGCCATACACGCCTGCGCGTTCGTCGTGAAGGCTACGCCCGCCCCGATCTCGCGGAAGTTGGCCGCCTGCTCGTACAGTCGCACTGCGATGTTGCGGCGTGCGAGACCGAGTGCCGTCGCTACACCCACAATTCCACCGCCGATGATGGCGACGCGCATGTGCCCGGGCTGAGAGCCTCCGTTGATGTTTGGGCTGTTATTCATGGTAAGGTTTTAACGGCGTAGAATGTAGCAGCGGCTAGTTGGATGGAAGTTGGGTTGTATTCCAGGAAGAGAGATTGACTTCGCTTAAGACGGTGACCTTTTTCGTTGTACTATTGACAGGATTCCCAAGTCCACCGGCTTGATGATAATCGGCGGTACGGTCTCCGGTACTCTTACCTAATGAAAGGCATGTATCCATGTATATTACGTAGGGACCCAAAAATAGAAGATCAGGTCTGTTCAATCCCGCTTTCTTTCCATCCGGTGATCGGCTCTCCTCAGAACTCCAGAGGCCCTCTGAATGACAGCAACTTCGGGGGTTTCGGCGTTTGTTTGAGATGGCGTTGGATAATGGATCCAGGTACATGTATGTACCTGGGACTTTTTCGGAGCAAAAGTACACCCGGCAATTTCCCTCCGGAAGACAATCCGGGTTGCGGTTGGATAGATACATGTACGGGAGAGATGAAGGGACAATACCCTGTCTGTCGGCAAACAAAGCTCTACCCTCATGAACTTCTTGTTACACCCAGACCAATCACCTATGTTATCGTGATGGGTATTTATACCTTGATACTCTCGTCGTCGCGAGCGAACCCACCTACGGTACATGTAACTAACCCCTGGCGATCCACCACTACTATAGCAGGTAGTACCTTACCATCTCAGTAGTACCTTACCTATCTCACACCTGCAATTGTTAGGCAGCGTGATCCAATAGCTTTAACCTTATGGCTTGTGATGATATCGCGCGATTGACCCTACTACGGTTAGGGGTCTTCTCAAACATCAGCCCACCAAGTGTCTTTACCTGCGAAACAACCGTCTGCCAGTTAGCAATCCTCCTATCCCGATGTGTAATTATGGAGAAACAAGTGTCAATCGTTCGGTAGGTATTACATCTCCATAGAAAGAGCCGGGAGATTTGAAAACGGCAGAAGTACAAGCGGATGAAGTGGATGTTAGTGATGGTCGAGCGGATTACGAGGGCGTGAATGATATGGCTGGAAGCAATTGACTCAATTTGAACCAGACGCATCAGACAGGTATCTAACTACCTAGGTACCTATGTACCTAAGTGAGCCTCGAGCCAGAGCGTGCTTGGTAACCATTCGATGATTGCGATACCGACATTGGAACGGACCTTTCTAATCAATCTCGCATAATAGTTGGTAATTTTCAAAGCCTTCGGCGCCATGTTATTCTCCGAACAGGAGAGAGGTCTAATGACATAGATACCCGAGACTTTGCTAGGGGCTAAACACCAGAAATGGCGACGCCCTGACACAAACAAGTAATCGAACTCATCATGTACTGTGCAAGGCTATTCCGCCATGGGAGCCTCAGGCCACATGAGCCCCAAACGCTCAACAATTGATCTGGTGGTCTGGTCCCAGTGTCCAAGACCGGTTTTGCCTTACTCGAGTGGGATCGGGTGGTACCAGCTGAACAACCCATTGGGATCGTACTCCCTCTTCAACGCCCTCAAGCGAGCAATATTGGCATCAGACCAAATGGCTCTGGCGGACTCATCGCCGTGAGAAAAGCCCACATAAGCATTGAGACCATCCGGAGTACCAGCGGTAGAGGATAAAATATCGCGCAACTTGGTGGGCAAGTCCTCGATGTCGGCTTCGGTCGTAGTGGTGTTATCTCCGTACAGAAACCCAAAGGTCCTTCATTTGTCTGCGTTAGCCATGCCCTAATCGCAGATCTCATGGTGCAACGACCAGCTCTCATGGGGCAACGACCAGCAAGCCAGCCAGGTAGGGAAGCAGGATTGCACATACTGATGACCGACCGCCTGCCGCCACGGGTACGCAGTGTAGTCCTGCGCCCGGGCAACAACCGCCTGGTTGGCGCAAAAGTATCCTCCGCCTCCGCTGTGGCTCATCTCGGGATATTTAGTCACCATGTAGTCAAACTGCTCCGCCGCACGAACGTGCGCGTCCACGTCGATGGTGTTGAGAGCTACGCCGTACGTATCTCCCCGTACGCCACCCGGGCTGCAAAGGTCCGCAGCGGGGTTATTGCCTGAGAAGTAGACGTTCCGGTTCAGACGATTCCATGGGACCTGCGTGAAGTTTCGGCGAAGATCAGTGCCGATATCCGTGAGAAATTCAACATCTCGCCGCCCCTCGTCCTCCGACCCGGCATAAACAGCATTCACTTTTAAGGTTGTCTAGGAACAGGTAAGTCAGAGAATGTGTTACCGGGGTTGTGGGCTCTAAAAAGACCTACGGCATTAAGAGTGCGGTTGAACCCTAGTCCGGTAGCCAGGCACAAGGGAGCGGGCATCACGCTTTCGATCCGATCGTGTAGTGCTTGGTAAAAGGCCCTTATGCTGCTCATGGGAAACTCAAAGTCAGCATTGAAGTTGGTCCCCCCGGCGGGGGCGTCGTAGACACGGTATGTCGCATTAAGGACGAAGCCGAAATTGAACCCGGCGCCCCTAAGCCCCCAGAACAATTCCGGATTTGAGCTTTCCGACACCTCGACCACGGTCGTATTTGGCAACATAAGGCGAGCCGAGAGCATGCTGTCGTGCATAAGACCATGAAGCCCTTGCAGTCGCCCAATACCGGCCCCGAGGCTGGCGCCAACTATGCCGACACAGGATCCGCCTGCGACCGCTATTTGATGGATAATAATACACGATTGTCAGCAAGAGAACACGGGGGCCAGAAACCTTGTTTGAAGAGGGCGGACACGTACGGAAGTTTTTCCCCACTGCTTGCAAAGCATCAGAGACGTCTTTCATGACAGCAGCCCCTCCGATAATCATTGTGCTAGACTCCACATCGACATCCACATGAGAGAACGCTTCCGTGTAAATTGCCAGCCCGTCGGTCAGTGTTTCCCAGCCGGTAGAGAAGCCGTGGCGAGGACCGGTGAACAGGAAAGGAGTTCCGGTCGACGTGGCACAGGAAACCTAGATGGCACGTACCGGTCATGGTCAGACGCGCGAAGGATTGTGTACACCGAGCTGATGTATGTACATACCGAAGCTTTGACATCTTGTTCGTTTGCAACGGCGGCCACAACGGCAAAGGTAGGCTGGTGGTTACGGTTCCATCGAACCGTAGCGTTGGCAAATCTGTCATCGCCACGCAGATACACGGAGCCCTCTGGAGAAAGAGAAGAATGGAGGCAATCGATCAGAGAGTCCGTATCTCTGGCGGCTGGCGGACCAGCAGCACGGCCGTTGACGCCTGCGGCCAGTGCCGCCAAGAGAGTCGAGACACCAAGCAGCCCCATGTTGGTGTGGAAGGAATGGATGTTACGGTGTACAGGGAAAGGCCCGCTCGAACATGCGTAGGAAGAAGAGTGTTTCTGAGGTTAGATAGATACATGTACGGTATGTAGTGGGAATTTGCATATTAAGAGTCGAGCCGAGTCTCCTCCGACTCTAGGTAGGCAGGTAGGTACCTGAGGGATATTGCAGTCTTGCAGCTGGGATCTACCCCACCTTCGCCCTGTTGCCGTTTTCGTGTCTTGCTTGAACAGCCTGATCGCAAGGTTTCAGTCTTTCAAAACCCCGAGGAACACTTTTGACGACATGCTCCGGGGTTTAGAGGTTCAAACGACACGGTCACTCTACTACACTTGTGGTCTATGCTTAGGTATGCTCCGGGGCTCCTTGCCATATGGTATGCACATCGGTACCCTCGGCTCTGGTAAGTTACATGTGTACAACTCCAACTTCTCGGTTTCCGAGTTTCCGGGATGGTTTCTTGTTTTCCGAGGCCCCACACTAATATGTTTACAGTTTCACAAGATAACGCTCCGTGTCTAGTACCTAGGTACCTAGTTAGCAAGTTATCAGATGCCGCACACCAACAGGGGGAGAAATTGAATTAAAATCACTGCCCAAGGTATTATTCGGTATAGTAATGGTCCCAGGCACCTTCTGGGACGTAAACAGGAAAAGGGTTGGGAACCAAAGACGTGATTTATAGATTCAGCTCGACCCGCTTAAACCCCCGCAACCTCCTCCTCGGGTTTTGCTTGACTGCCGCTTGCTGATTCGGCCCTTTTCTTGCGCCGGACTTCGTCCCACCCCATGAACAGGGCGAAGCCAATGGACACCACCGCAAAGCCAGCTACCACGTAGAAAGTCTTGTCAATTGCATACGAGTACGCCTGCAACAGCCCCTCGAGCTCGGGACTTCCCGCTGGAAGTAAGCGGCGTACAGCGTCTGCCCCCGTTCCCGCGCTGACGACGGCTTCCGGAGACGCCGAGGGAGCGAGGACCGGTAAATCCTTCAGCAGGCTTTGGGTGAAGATAGTAGTAGCAATGACCACGGCAATAGAACCTGCCAAGTTCTGGAAAAAAATGAGAAGGGACATGGAGATGGCGACCAGGTCGCTTCCCAGGGCACACTGGATAGCTGTTATGGACTAAGGTATCAAGGAATACGTGTCAGCAGACCTAATTTTGGGCAGAAGAAGCCCACTCACCATTGTCAATGCAGCGCCTCGGCCAACACCCTGTATCAGCTGATAGCCAACCCATTTCGATGTTGTGGTATTAGGCCCGAATGTTGTCGTCAAACCCGCGCCGACTGAAATCATAAGCCCTCCGAATAGGCACCAGGGCACAAAATGGCCCAGTCTCGATACTACAGAAGTCGGGTTTGAACTGCCGCTACAAAGGGTTAGGGAGAACAACGAGACTTACCGGCAGCTCCAGACAGGATGATGAAGACCAACTGGCTCAAGATTCCCGGAAGCATGTACAGACCACTCCTTGTTGCCCCCACACCCTTCACGGCTTGAAAATAAACAGGCAAAAAGTAATTAGCAATAAAGACAATGAAGGCCATGCTAAAGATATGACCACAACTGGACCAAACTTCTCGGCGACGGATGACGGAGCCGGGAATCATGGCTGTGTCACCCACCCTCCTTTCCCAAACGACAAACATGACGGTAGACGCTCCGGCGCCGCAGAAGAGGCCGATGACTAGCGAACTGTTCCAGGGGTGGTTGGGATCCGATCCCCCAAACTGCAAAGCCGCCAGAAACATGGTCATGGCTGGCGCGAGCAGCGCAAAGCCACCAAGATCGAGGCTAGATAACATTCTGCGGACGAGTCCAAGAGAGAAAGTATTTTGCCCCTTGGTGTCGGGAATAGTATTGAATACGATCAAAATTGCAGCGCAGCCGCCGATGGGGAGGTTGATGTAGAAGCCTGGGTGGTATTCTTTAGCTGGTACCATCAAATAATGCACATGTACCGAACCCACTCGCAGTTATCGGGAAGCAACTTTGACTTACACCATCGCCAAGAAACGTATTGAGTGAGCGCTCCCCCAATGAGCGGGCCCACGATCAGGGCCATCTGACCAACTCCCATCGTGATCCCTGTGTAAACTATCGGCAACGCCAGGTTAGAGCCGCAGGGCACCAGAAATAAGGCACGAGGCATCATGAACACTCACACGGTTGCTGGGCCAGGGGAACTGAAGTACCAATGATAGTCCAAGCTCCGTTCATGAGGCCGGAGGAGCCAGCCCCGGCAACGGCTCGGCCGGCGATCAACATGGGAGAAGATTTCGCCAACGCGCAGATAAGAGAGCCTATTTCGAAGACGAAAAGGAAGGTTAGGAAAACGAACTTTTTCCGGAAGAAGATGTACAATTTCCCTGCTAGGGGCTGCAGGGTACCACTGTGCCAACGAAAAGTGTTAACGGCTGAGGTGTAAGAGGGAAAGCAATAATACATCATTGGATTCATTAGGTAGTGTTGCAACGTTGGGGGCTGGACTCACGACACGAGCGTGTAAGCCCCTGCATACCAGCCGATATCCGCCGTCTCGTGTAGATCAGTAGTAATGATTGGAGTGGCAGTGCTGATGATGGAGTTGTCCAAGTAAATCAGGAAGATCGCCACTGTCATTCCAGTAACAAGTCCGGCTAGCTTGTAGCCCGTGACGTATTGCGTAATTGATTCTTGTTCGTTCCGTAGACTATCCTCAGTGGATGGCACGACTGTGTTGGCATTCCTAATTTGAGATAGGGAAGCAGAGGCGCTTGGTGTGGGGTTGCCCTCCGACGGCTCGTGGAGAAGGGTTTCGATTCCCGACTTCTCTGACGCAGTAGGAGAGTTTGCAGTTTGCGCGTCGCCGTCATTCTCGTTGATACAAACAGACTGTCGCTTGAGCATGTTGATTCTCTCGATCGCAAGTACATAGGTATCTAGGCTGTTATCTGCAACTGGGAAAGGGGAGAGATATCTAGAGTGATGAGAGAGCAAAGGTAGAACCCAGTGCCAGTAATATGCGGCTAATATCCGCAATGCCGCTTCCCCGGCGTATTATAGTGCATAGGTACCAAGGACTCTTACATGTAGATTGTGATAATTCTGTTCTTGTGACCCCCTACGCTCGGAACAAACTGTGGGTATTGTCGGAGATTTAGCTACGGAACACTGCAGTGTATCAATCTCTTGTCCACCGAAACTTTGCGTCGTTCCGAGGTCCGATCGCCCGGTCTGCTTTCTGTCACTGGCCTAGTCTACCTGCTTGCTACTGGTATCCTTCGCGGGATCGGCTCATATCAACCCCCATCTCCTTGGAAAGACAACTTGCGATGTTGTCCAGCAAGGTGGAAATTTGACCCAACGAATAATATGCTTCATTGAAGTCCACGGATAGTGTTAAACAGCCGCGGAATGTCCATATATACAGAGTCGGCTGTCTTCCCATAATGGTGCTGCCCAGATGGAATGCTTCCACCTGCACGACACCGTGGTCGGCGCGCAGGTACTTGTGGTCAATTACCCCCAGGCTACTGACTGTCACATTGCTGGCTGGCGGCCTAGCCCCTGATGCCGCCAGGTCGGCCAATGTCTCGCCGTGGATCCGGTAGATGGACCGAAGAGCGTCCATATATGCCGGAGGATCCCAATCCCCCCGGTATCCGCTAGTAAGCTGCCGGCACCAGGACCCAAAGTCGTCGCTCCGCTGCAGGGTGTATGTGATACCTGTCACGTACGTGCCGCACGCATAGGTGGTCGCTGTTTCTGGAAGGAGTGGACGAAGATTGACCGAGACAACGGTGCTGTAGGAATCACAGGACGCATCAAACGTGCTGTCGTTGTGCTCCTTACTGTCCAGCACCGAGGCGGCACAGGCGGCATGCACCGCGGCTGTGACTGTGAAGCCACGGGCTTTGCAGGCTTGGATAAATTGTTCAGACTGATCTTTACTAAAGGTGACTGTCTGGCACCGGGAAGCCCTCGGAAGGTCGGACTTATCGCCCTGGTATGGTAAGCCCGCTGTTGGGTACGCCGTGATGAAGTTTCGCTGGCGTATCTCTTCGGCTTTGGCTTCAGTCTTGGGGGTTGGTTCTTTAGCGGATCCGTACGCATCCTCTAAACTGACGGGGAGATGCTCGCGCTCAAGTTCCCAGCATATTGACTCCAGGGCCCCTGGGACTGTACCTTCGGTAAGCTGAGCCAGAATACTGAACAGTCGGTCGAGCACCACGCAAGTACCGAGTGCGTCAATCCGCCAATGGGAGCAGTGGAAGAGCACCTCGGACGACCGCGACACGAAGACCAAACATGGGAGCTTCCGGAGGTGCAAGCCGGTCGCGACATGGCGCGCCGCGTCCGCCTCGTCGTCGACCCAAAACGTATCGTTGATCCACGACTTGACGTTGGCGGCAGTAGCCTCGAGGTACGTTTTCTTGCCGCCGTCTTCAAATACGGCCAAGCCTGGGAAGTCAAAGCGTAGCCTAGTCCAGGCTTGCATGAGCTGCTCGCCCAACAACGGGCCCGGTCCAGAACTCGTGCGGACTCGACAGATAGCATAGACAGAGCCGTGTTCTCGATAGTGCCGCTTGAATGCTTGTGACATCTGGTAAAACACTTTCTCCGCTCCGTCGTACTCATCCCTCCATGTACCCGAGTCTGTTTTGGCCCAAACCATTTTGTCAGTCTTTCAGCAAGATCAATAAAGAGAGTTACTGCACGCGGCGTGCCAATGACTAGGTAGTGGCCCGGCCCGTTGAACTTTGACTTCAGACGTGTCCTTAAAACACCATCTTGCGAGTACGGAATCTGGCTGCAGTCGGGGGGTTTACAGTCACGGGGGAAAGTTCACGCCGGCCTAGCGAATGTGTGTGCGTGGCTAATCGCAGATTCTTTTCTCCCTTTGGCTCCCCGGCAGTGGATTATTATCCGTTGGAACATGAATGAGACACCACCCCGAGACATGCTTGCTTACCTACCTAGGTGCCATGTCGTGGTTGGGAATCCCCCGAATAACAACCATTTCCTCCGAATCCATGGTTTAGGAACTTTTCATTTCGCACATGGACAGACTGTGCTATGCGGATGCTAGAAAAGAAGAAAAAGTATCTGGGGAACCGGAGCTTGGGAAGCAGCGAACGAAAAAGATCCCAAGATCCGTCCACCAAGCACACCTGTACACACACAGTGCAACACTCGATCCCGGCCGGAGTGATTAGGTGTTAAAAACTACGTGGTGGCCTCAGAATTCTCCGTGCTCCTCATCATGCGTCTCATCTTGCCCTTAAGACATTGTTTGTTCGTGGTGTTAATTGCGCGCGACCTTGAGGTCCTCGCAGAACCTTTCAGCTTTCCCCTTCCAAACGGATTCCCGTTCCCCAACGAGACCGCTCTGGAGGAGCTGTTTACACGGGCAGGGGGTAATTTCACCAACGCACCGCTGGCACCCCGGTTCGACGACGACTCGTTGACGAGCTGGAAGCTACAGGCGTTCAATGAGTTCATGGAGGTGGCGTTCTTCACTCAACTCATCGCCAACATCAGCGACAGCGTAGCTGGCTACGAGCTTGATCCTTCCGTGCGAGAATATGTCCTGACTTCACTAGAAGCCATTCAGGCGGTACGTAATACGCAGCCCAACGAACATGAAGCAGTGAAGTGCTCACCCTGAGATGTGCGCAGCAAGAGGAGATGCACGCGTACAATGCCAACGACGCCGTCCGCTACTTTACAAATGGCTCGCATATGTACCCCTGTACGTAACGAGCCCCCCGTCTTACATACCTTCGCCGAGAGGCGTCGACTTTGACTCCAGACCCTGACCCGCACATGTACATCGGCCTCCTAGCCAACATCCAGCAGCGGACGGCCATGCACCTGGGATCCGACGCCCACTCCATTGTCTACGTGCTAGCTCAAGCGCTAGGCCAAGAGGGCCAGCAGTCAGGTTGGTTCCGCTCGTTGCGGGGGATCCCGCCGAGCGCGGAACCGTTCTTGACCACGTCCACACGTGAGTTCGCCCTAGGATGGATGCAACATTGGATCGTGCCCGGGAGCTGCCCCAACATGCACGAGATTCCACTGGGCATCCTACCGGCCCTGCAACTTACGGCCGTCTCGATCGGGGACGCGTCCCACAGCGGAAACGTGACGTTGCTTGCCCCCGGAGCGGTGGACCCCGGCTCGCAGAGAGTAGCCTTTGTCAACGGCGCCTTGGTCCCCACCATAGTTCCATTTAAAATCCGGCAGACGTCGCCCTGTGGCGGTGGTGATCAAGATGTTCGGGACCTCCGGGCCATAAAGCGGAATCGGGGAAATCGGCGGAATCAACATCGCCAGATCGTTTTGGTGTCTCAGGGAACGGCAGATGCTGAACCGGAAGACGTAGGGGGCTGCATCGCATCGACCGAGATTGTAGCCGATATGCCATATGCACGGAACGTCATGCACGGGTTGATTCTCATGACCGTGGTGGAGAACAGCGCGGATGGTGAGAACGAGACTGTGTTCATTACGGCTCAAGATGTCGCCGACGCGACTATATACGGCCCCGCGTTGCTCGAGTGGAGCTAGAGGGTATAGATGATGGATCCTATCGACTTGCTTTAAGGTCAACTATGTACTTACTGGTGTACTGGGAAGCCATGTAAGGGCTTCCCCAGGGTGGGAATAGTACCTAGGTAGGCACTTTACGCATCTAACCTGGATGGAGAAGGTCCGTGTCGACTCCTGGCGTCGGTGAATAATACAAAACCTTAGACAAAGATTCTAGTTTCGGTGGGGGGCTCGGGGAAAATACAGCACATGAACCTCGTGCCAACGACGGGACTAGAAATGGACCGAAGATCCGAATGTCCGAATGCTCGCCGAACACCAGTGGGCGTTGATGTGAGTAACAGCCATACCAGTGCTTGAAGGGTATTTAGCATATGAAGTGTAGAAAATTCATTTACTTAGTACGTATAGTCGGCAAAATCCATCCCTATATAACTGTCATCACTTACCTTCGCAGTGTCTTACGAACATCCATTAGAATTTGACCTCGCTTTCAAAGCCTACCTAGGTAGTATCTACGATCAGATCGGCATCCAAACAACCTGAAACCCAACGGCCAGGGTCTTCCACAATGGCCACTACCAGCCATCATAAACACACGCGGATATCGTGGTTCAGGATGCTAACGCTTCAAGATATTATCACACCACAAATGTTGGAATTTGATTACCCAGGGAGCGGAACCCAAGACGATCCGTATCTTGTCAGGTTCCTCGACAACGACCCGCGAGACCCCATGGATTTTGCACTCTGGCTGCGCTGGGCTTTGTGTATCGCGGCAGGATACGTTACCTTCTCTGTGGCATTCATTTCTAGTGCCTTCAGCGGCGGTATTCGGAACATTTCGCAGGATCTGGACGCTACCCCCGAATCAGCCACTCTAGGTGTCAGTCTTTTCCTACTGGGATTTGTTCTCGGCCCGTTGCTCTGGGCACCCTGTTCAGGTTTGTCCAAATCCGAATCCGAATAGAGCGTGTACCAAGTCAAATCACTGACAAAATGACCGATAACAGAGCGCTTTGGACGGCAGGTCATCCTCCTTTCCACAATGGCGGTACACGTTGCCCTGAATATCGCCGTATGCTTCAGCCCAGACCTCGCCATGCTCTTAGTCCTGCGCTTACTATCCGGCGCTTTTGGAGCCGCCACATTGACAAATTCCGGTGCTGTCATTGCCGACATTTTCCCCCCCAGACAACGTGGACTCGCCATTACCGTCTATGCGCTGGTGCCGCTATTCGCCCCAGTCCTAGGCCCGATGGTTGGAACTTATGTGTCGGGCATCTTTGGCTGGCGCTGGTCCATGGCGCTCATGGCTCTCATGTCCATGACGGCGCTCGCGATGGCTGCACTCCTGATTCCTGAAACATACGCCCCTTTGCTGCTCGACAAACGGGCCGCCCGGCTCACCAAGATCACTGGGCGACGTTACGTCTCCACAATAACTGCTGCTGGTGGCAACAAGGATGCGCCGCGCCCCTCTTTTGCTACTACGCTATCGAGGCCTTTCTTCTTGGCTGCCAATGAGCCGATTATTAGCCTTCTCGCTCTATACCAAGCTATTGTGTTTGGCACTCTGTACTTTATGTTCACGGCCCTTCCCATGGTATACACCGACATTTTGGGCTGGCCCAGAGAGCAGAGCGGCCTAGCATTCCTTGGGGTTGTGATTGGCATGGCGCTCTCGGTGGTATTTGCTATTTGGGACAACACCCGATATAGCAGGACACTAGAGAGGCTAAAGGGAGAAGCGGTCCCACCCGAGATACGCCTACCATCCTGCTGCCTAGGAGGAGTATGTATCGTCGGAGGTCTGCTGTGGTGTGCCTGGACTGCCGAGCCTGGGCTCCCGTGGCTCGTTAATATGGCCTCGGGTGTGCCCTTTGGCTTCGGCATCGTTCTAATTACGATTGGTTCGACGAACTATCTGGTAGATGTCTATACTATCCAGGCAGCTTCGGCACTCACGGTTTGCATATGCAGTCGGGCTATCTGGGGCGCTATATTTCCTCTTTTTGCACCCGGCATGTTTAATTCCATTGGGGTGTGGTGGAGCCTGTCGATTCCTGCTATTTTGAGCCTTATGTGCCTGCCTTTACCTTTCCTTTTTTATAAGTTTGGACCATTAATCCGGGCGCGGTGCAGATACGCTTGTGAGTCTTATATCGCCGACCAACGAGCTAGGAAACGTGTCAATGAGGAAACACCATTGCTAGTATGAAGACAATATAAAAACTTGGTATTTAATGGATAACCTCTAATTTTATCGGCCGCGAATCTATTTGTACGGGGTCCGCACGGTTCGCCAAAATCTGTACACGAAGTTATTCCCAGATAATACCCCAATACATTTTAGCAATGCAATCCGGCCACTGCACTTACGATGATACAGAAGTCTACGAGCTCTTGTCTTTTCATTTGTTCTTCGGGCATGGTATTCTCGTACGGGCGCCAATAGATAATTGTAATATACTCCTAAGTGTGTTACAACTTGTATTAATATTATATTCTGCTATGCCCCCAGCGGTGTTGGACCTCTAGTGTGACGGCAGCTGCCGTCGGAGTGCACTTGTTGGAAGACCAACAGCCACTGATCCAAGGTGTCACACACACAGGAAGATGGGAATTCACACGGCTGAGCCTAGGAGGCTATGAGACTGCCAAAATCAATTGTCCTTTTTTCCTCTTCCCTCTGTAAGGGGGTTCCAAACCCGTGATATCTCTCTCTGAGCAGCGATGGTGGCACCGCATGCAACCGCACCTAGCCTAAGCCGACCGATCTCTTGCCACCACGTTCTGGGCCTTGACCCATTGACCCTCCTGTGCTCAGACCTCGTGGTCTCCCTTCCAACAGCACTGTGGCCCCACTTGGTTGGGCACGTGGCCACACGCGCTGGCATTTAACTCCTGTATCGCGAGAGCTCTTCCAGCTTCTCTTCCTTTTCTCCCCATCTTGTGATTAGCAGAATAGAGTCTCATCGGCAGTGCCCTCGCGCCTCGCCTAAATGTCCCTCGTCCCTCACATCTAGCTACTTGGTGGATAGCAAAAGCACTCTCACGAGCTGGATGAAAAGCCCATACGGATTTTTGAGAAGATTATGTATGTGCGAGGCCAACAATACCAAGAGAGGAGCCTCTTGCTCTTCGAGAAGGGGGTGCTTATGCTATGTAGAATGAAGTAAAAGCACCGTCCCGTTCGAATCCCGGTTCGCATCATGGAGTTAGGGGCGGGGCCAAACACTACACGAACACATGTCAGTATCGAGGCTGATCCACTTCAGTCAAGTGTTGGCCATGATCGATTCAAGGCTGATTTAGGATTGTTTTAGCTGCTGCACAGAAAACTTGGCTGGTTAGGTAGTTAGTATTAGTCCCGCCACAATGATATTGTCAACTATGCTTGGTAGGCAGACTGCATTGCGAATATTGAGGTAAGTTGCCGTGAGTACTTGAGTTTTGAGGAAGCGCACAACCGGGATCTTGTGTAGCAGAAACGGGACGTCGCACCCGCCCGGTTCCGGAATTTTGCGGAGAATGCGTCTTCTCACTGTGTGAACTTTTCGCAAGTCGAAAATTTCCCCTTCCTTCCCCGGCAATGCGATATTCATGTGTCCTTTGGCAGCCTTCGGTTTGTATCAGCATTGAGGATGTTAATTATTCCGCCGTTGAACCCGAGCAGAGGGTCGATATGCCAACGGCAGACTATGCCCTACAACCCTCTCCAACCAGTATTTCGCAGATCCTACTCGCCACGGACCGATTTCCAGATTCTCGACGCCGGGAGCCCGGGACGAGGAATCACCGAAGCGACAGGGCATGTCCAGTCATCATGGGCTAAGCACGGGAAAGCACGCGCACGGAGAGCAAATGGCGCACTCCCCAAAGACTCGCCAAACACAGTTCCTCGATGCCGAGCGGGGTGGGCATGGATGATTGTCGGCTGGCTTTGGCTTGATTGGGATGCCTGAACGGGCCATTCGGGAGCGGGAGCAGCGGCCCATATTTGATCTTATTCTCGAAGTGCGCGTACTGCCCGCGTCGGACAGTTCTCGACAGTGTTCCGAGTGGCTTCGATTTTGTTCTTCAACGGCGGAACCCGGTGTGGCGTCACACTGATCGACAGGCCTTGCAGCGAATGTGACGGTCCTGCCTCCATGCTCCATGGTGCGGTCGGAGCAGATCTCATTTCTTCCGCCGCCTGCTCAAACAAGTAACGTACGGTACGCAGTACGCCGTACGTTACCTTATTTCGTGGCTGGCTTGTTTGCTTGCTTCAAGCCGCCAACCAGATGGGCCATGCACTGCGCCGCTCAGGAGGCCTGCTGATCGTCGCAGCAGAAAAGGGACCTCGAAGTTGCTGGCAAGCAGGTTTCTGCCCGCACACCCGAGTGCAGTGGGATTTATCACGCAGCTGACTTCGCGGGAAAGGTCAGCATCCCATAGCACCTTTACCAATCGCCTCGACGGTCAAGCTTTTTTCCCCACATTGGGGCGCCCGACATGGCGGCGGCGACATGGTCAGCATGGCGTCTTCCGAGTTGCCAACGGCCCTTCCACGCGGCCTGGCACGGGCACCTGGAAACTTGGCGCGGAGCCATGCGTGCGCCACCGGCACTGGTGGTTGGAGAGAGCTGGATCGTTGCTTCCGCGGCGACCGGCTTGTTATTTTTGAACACGAAACGGGGCCGTCAGTCATGCGCGCAATGGGAACAGTCCGGCCTTGGAGATGACCTTGCCGAGTTCGCTTGGGCGGCAGGACTTTGGGAAATGGCAACATGACATTCTACCAATCATCTCCAATCCACTCCCCCATTTGAGCTGCTGAGAAGGAGGCAACGATTTCGGCATGACGAACCACTGGAGGCCGAACAAAACAAAGCGTTGTGAAGCCAAGCCTCAAATCCCAGCTGCATGTGAGCGTCTTCTTCCTTTGTTCTCTCGACCATGCCGAGGGACCAAGTCGTTGGATATTCGACTCCAAAGGTCAACAAGTCCACCTGATGCACGATGGCGGAGACTTTCGGCCCGATCCCCAACCGCTCCCTGAAGCGCATGATCCTTCGCCGCAGACGCGGCGGTTTACCCCAACTCGGCCTTGTGGCGCGGGCCGATTGTCACACGGTGTTGTTGGGCGTCAACAACGTTACCGCCATTGGCAGGCCCGAGGTAGTTTACATCAATGAGTCGGCGGGGCCGCCTCGCAAACAAATCGTTGCCGTTCAGCATTGCATGGTAATTCAGTCGAGACCCAAGCTCGGTCTTGCGAGGAAAGTCAAGGCTGCAGTTGGGGTTCGTGGCAGTGTGGGATGAGGATTGAGTGTGGCGTGGGGCCGGGGAACTTTGCAGCCTGCCCTGGGATCCACACTTCAGCAGTTCGGGTTAACGAGGAGGTTCGCTGAACTTTCCTGGAGAAGCGGGTCTGTTGTTTGAGCGTGTGTGGGCTCGTGAAGAGAAGAGGAAGAGAAGGATAGAAAACCTCCTCAGCGGATATCTGGCCAATTGCAGGCCCTCAAGGTGGCTCTCTCAGCCCGAGACAGCCACCATGTCATCGACGCACGCAAATGAGGGGCCCCGGACGCGTGCCATGTGGAAAGCCGCTGGCGGCTGGCATCAAAGCAAATGGAAAAAAGGCTTCCAAAGTTCCAAGGTTCTGCGAGAAATTGTGGGGCTCTCGAAGTCGGTCTCGCTGAACAAGACCAAAAACAGCCCAGCATTCGCGCCCCTCAAGCTTCCCCAGAAAAGGACCGTTTTTACCCGGCGAGTCCCTGTTGGGAGAGTCCATTTTCTCCAGATAACCAGGGGCCCGATCGATCCAGAGCATTCGACCGGTCTGAACGGCAGGTTCGCCACAACAGGCCCTCTGTAGCGGGTCGGGTGACTGGCGTGGGCCGGAGCTGACCGTTGACGAGGACGGCCGAGGTTCCAAAACGAGGACACTATTTCGGAGTGTCGCCGAGCACAAAGGCTGAACCACCGGCGCGAGTGGCGCGATCACCCAGCAGCCGCGAGACCTGGAGTGACGCCGAGAAAAAACGCTCACGTGTCGCAACGGTATTGTTCGTCAGGATTGCGTACGAGCAAAGCGAAAGCGGACCATGATACGGGGAGGGCATGATGCAAACGATTTGGAGGAATGCATCGCGGCCGCGCCGGCTGAAAAAGTTTGATGCAGTTGGTCTCGCCAACTTGCTGGCCCGGCGCCGCGAGCGTCACAGGACGCGGTTTTGCCATTAAGGATTTTTGATTGCTGCCGGGAAAGGGTCCGCGTCCGGCAAGGCCCCGGTTTGGGACCTCGGGGAGCCCCTGGCAAATCATCTGCTCATTGACGTTGGTATGGTACAGTACGGTAAATTACGCTGCGGTTGGCTCCTTGTTTGATGATGTGTGCAACCCTTCGAGGCAAATGGCCAGCGAATGAAGCCGGATCTCGGCAGGGCAGCGAAAGGATGCAACGCTCCGGACCGAATCGTTCAATTTGCAGGCTCTGTCGAGGGCGTGAGGTGCTGCTGCCTTCGTTGGGCTGGCCATTGTCGGTCCCTTTGCCCCATGGGGAGGACTCCATTTCGGCCCTTCCATGAGTTCCCACCACGTCTGGAGCACCCCGGAGTGGAGAGGCGATTGCTGGGGAATTGGAGATGCGGGCGCAGAGGTTGCTGGTTGCACCATGTGCTCGTGGAGCGTCGCCGGGGGATTGGTAAAGTTTGGGAAACTAGCGCTGCTTGGGGGAGCGAAGACGTTGCAACGAGCCAGGGGGGCGCCGCAGATGCTCGGCGGTATTCTGCATGACCCAATCCCCGCGGGGCCAGACTGGATCCCCGCACACCCCAATGCATTCGATCCGGCGGGACAGCGGCGAAATACCCCAAGCTTCCTGGGTGCCAAGTCGGGGGTAATCGACGGTCCCTGTGTTTTGAGTGGCCCGCTGCACCGACACATGCAATTCGGGGCCAAAACCAAAGACAGACACCCGTTGAAGGAGGCGGGCCAACATGCGACAATCGTTTGCCTAGGGTGGTGCTGGGGTGCTGGGGTTTCCTGCAACGGGATCACCATTCGTTTACCAGGAATACCATCCATAGATACACTCTTTTACCCCAGGCCACCCCTTCTTCTCTTTATATCCGTCCGTCCATCCCACCCTTTCCCTCCCCCGTCGATCTTGTCCTTCTTTTTCTTCCCCATTCCTTTCTCAACACCAATTCTTTCGACAGGGAAGGGCAAAATCATCACCATGTCCTCAAACGAAAAGGAGGCATCGGCCCCTGCCGCTGCCCACGTCGGCGACCTCGCGGTAACCCAGGATGTCGAGCGCATCGAGGCTCCCGTCACCTGGAAGGCGTACCTGATCTGCGCCTTCGCCTCGTTCGGCGGTATCTTCTTCGGTTACGACTCGGGTTACATCAACGGTGTGCTCGGGGCTAAGATCTTCATCGAAGCTGTCGAGCATATCGGCGCGGAGGAGGTCAGCGAATCCAACACCTCGCTCATCGTCTCTATCCTGTCCTGCGGTACCTTCTTCGGCGCCCTCATCGCCGGTGACCTGGCCGACTTCATCGGCCGCAAGTGGACTGTTATCTTCGGCTGCCTCATCTACATCGTCGGTGTCGTTGTCCAGATGATCACGGGTCTCGGCGACGAGCTCGGCGCCATTGTTGCCGGTCGTCTCATTGCTGGTATCGGTGTCGGCTTCGAGTCCGCCATTGTCATTCTGTACATGTCCGAAATTGTGAGTTGACCACACCCCTTCGCTCTCCAAACATGGCATTGACCCGATATCGAACCACAGTGCCCTCGCAAGGTCCGTGGCGCCTTGGTTGCGGGTTACCAATTCTGCATCACCATCGGTATCATGCTTGCGTCCTGCGTCGTATACGCCACCGAGGGTCGCACGGACACCGGCTCCTACCGCATCCCGATCGCCATCCAGTTCGCGTGGGCCCTCATCCTCGCTGGTGGTCTGCTGTGCCTGCCCGACTCGCCCCGTTATTTTGTCAAGAAGGGCAAGCTCTCCGAGGCCACCAACGCCCTGTCTCGCCTGCGCGGCCAGCCCAAGGATTCCGAGTACATCCAGGTCGAACTCTCCGAGATCGTCGCCAACGAGGAGTACGAGCGTCAGCTCATTCCCTCCACCACCTGGTTCGGCAGCTGGGCCAACTGCTTCAAGGGCTCCGTTTTCAAGGCCAACTCGAACCTGCGCAAGACCATCCTCGGCACTTCCCTGCAGATGATGCAGCAATGGACCGGTGTCAACTTCATCTTCTACTACTCGACTCCCTTCCTCAAGTCGACCGGCGCCATCTCCAACACCTTCCTGATCTCCATGGTCTTCACCATTATTAATGTGTGCTCGACCCCGATCTCCTTCTACACTGTCGAGAAGTTCGGTCGCCGTACCATCCTCTTCTGGGGCGCCCTGGGCATGCTTATCTGCCAGTTCCTCGTCGCCATCATCGGTGTCACCGTCGGCTTCAACCACACCCACCCTGACCCGCTGGACCCCAAAGGCAGCATCGCCAACAACATCTCAGCCGTCAATGCGCAGATCGCCTTCATTGCGATCTTCATCTTCTTCTTCGCCTCCACCTGGGGTCCTGGTGCCTGGATCGTGATTGGTGAGATCTTCCCGCTGCCGATCCGCTCGCGTGGTGTCGGTCTCTCGACTGCCTCCAACTGGCTGTGGAACACCATCATCGCCGTCATCACCCCGTACATGGTCGGCGAGACCCGCGGCAACATGAAGTCGTCCGTCTTCTTCGTGTGGGGCGGCCTCTGCACGTGCGCCTTCGTCTACACCTACTTCCTCGTGCCCGAGACCAAGGGTCTGTCACTCGAGCAAGTCGACAAGATGATGGAGGAGACCACCCCCCGCACCTCGGCCAAGTGGAAGCCGACCACCACCTTCGCCGGCCACCAGGCCTCCGAGGACGCCTTCCTCAAGCAGCACGGCGACACCACCGTTTAGACGGAGCCAGTGCCACTTGGGCCGGACATTTCTTTGCTGTCGTTGTAGGATACCATCGCGGTATAATATCATGTGGTTTTACGAATTGGATACCATGACCCGACAAACAAGCGCGCTGGTTGGATGAGGACAGCGAAGCAATGGCTATTAACGGGGAGGAGGATATGTGTTGGAAGAGATGTGGTACGAGCTATGCCTCTTTCTGTTCTCTTTTTACCGGGACAGAATCCCGACTTTGTAAATAATTCCCTAATCTCTCGCAATCTCGAGCAGAATCTGTGATACTGTCCTCCTCTCAGTCACTCAACGCCATGTTTATCTTGTGTGTTTGTGTCAAGGGTGGATTGAGCCCCTGGGCAGCTGGCAGGTGAGGGGGAGACCCCGCCCTTCTTCGGATTCCCAGGGGCTATTTTCAGGGGTCTTTGCACCACCCGAGGTGGGGGATGGCAAGATGGCCAGCCCAGAACTCGTCAATTGGCAGAAAATCGAAGACATTCACACCGCCCCGCCCCCATTTTGAGGTCTGTGGGTGATGGTCTCGAACCGGCTGACGGGGTCCCGGTGGTACGGCGAGTCGTGCAACGGTCAGCGTTGAACAAGCACGCCCCAAGGATTGCCAACCCCGAAGGCAATGGAATGTGCGCGGATTGGGCTACAATATTCTGCGAAAGTGGCACAGATTAAAACGTGCATTGACTGGGACGAGTTACGGGAAATTTCAAGGGGGATTTCAGTTGATCTTTAAAAAGTACCAGAGAATCAATTGCATCCTTGTCTGGTTCAATCTTGCCAATGCATGTGACCGAAAGCGTGAAATCGAGGCTTCCGCCACACTCCACAAATCAATCTTTAGACACTTGAGCGCAACTGGCGCAGGGCCAAGCACCCCCATCCCAACGGCTGATCAGCCCAGGAAGTGGCCGCAAAACACAACTGCCGTCAGCCCTCAGCATGTCGCCCGGCGGATCCCTCGTTTATCACGCGTCGCGTCTCGGCAACCCGGCCAAGATTCCCGCGCTGGCGCCAACCTCATCAACCGGATCTTGTTGCCGTGAGGGGAATCTGTTTTCCCGGATCGCATTTCTGCCCCGCCTCGCAAGCATCGCCACATCAATTACCCCGCGCAGTTTGACGCAATTCGTCGACGACAGACAACCCAGATGGAGTTCTCCCACTGCCGCGCGCGGCACGGTGGGTGTTCTGCATCAGTGATGGACCTCGACTACGCCGATTGCGGCTGATTCGAACGAAGCTTGATCAGATGTGCCTTCAGATCGACTCGCCCAGTTACCGGCTCTGCCGTATATAGTTCGCTGCGGCCATCCGACACCCGGTGCCACCCTCCCTGCCTGGAATACATTGTCGTGCATCGAGAAGGTTTCACAGAGATCGACATCCCACTATATAGGTGACTCCGAAGGTCTGGAACCGGCACCCCCCATCTCGGAACTATCGACACATTACACACACTCCGTCGCACGTCACACATCGCACACCGTATTCCCCTTCCGCAATCCCGCTCTGCACGAAACACGGACGGACCGAATTGCCCGCCTCGCAACGCGCCGCACCGCGTCTCACCTCTCAAGGTCTCACCCCGCTTCCAGTCCAACCGGTGAGACATCCCGAGGAAGCAAGCCGAGCCGAGACCAAACCTCCCACCGGCCGTTCCAGACTAAAAACTAAGACATACTTCTCCCTAGCCGCAAATATGCCTCTCCCCGCCGGTGTCTACCGCGCTGACCACGTCGGCTCCTTTCTCCGCCCGCAGCCGATCCTGCGCGCGCGCGAGACCCTCGACACGCCCACGCCCATCGCCGCGGCGGATTTGCGCAAGCTTGAGAATGAGCACATCACGGCGGTGGTCCAGCAGCAAATCGCCAGCGGCCTGCAGTCGGTGACGGACGGCGAATTCCGCCGCGCGTGGTTCCACATCGACTTCCTGCAGCACCTGGCGGGCGTCGAGCGCCACGGCAGCCTCTCGTCCACCAACGTCACGTCGCACGGCGTGACGCCGCCCAAGCTGGTCGTCGTCGGCAAGTTGGGACATCCCGACGCGATCCAGGTGGAGGACTACAACTTTGTTGAGAAGGTGCGGCAGCAGGACGCCGCGGCCGCGGCCGACCGGACAATCACGACCAAGGTGTGCATTCCCAGCCCGACCATGGTGCACTTCCGCGGCGGGCGCGAGGCCATCTCCACCGAGGCGTACCCCACGCTGGAGCCCTTCTTTGAGGACCTCGTGAAGGTGTACCAGGCCGAGATCGCGGACCTGTACGCCGCCGGCTGCCGCTTCGTGCAGCTCGACGACACGAACCTGGCGTACCTGTGCGACGAGGGCATGCGCTCCGAGGCGGCCAAGCGCCATGGCGAGGACCCCCAGAAGCTGACCAAGCATTACGCCGCGCTCATTAACGCCGCCGTCAGCCAGCGTCCCAAGGATATGGTGATTGGCATCCACTTGTGCCGGGGCAACTTCCGTTCCCAGTGGTTCGCGGAGGGCGGGTACGAACCCGTCGCTGAGGTGCTGTTCAAGGAGCTCGACGTGGATGTCTACTTCCTCGAGTACGACGATGCCCGGTCAGGGGACTTCTCGCCGCTGCGGTTCCTTCCCGAGAACAAGACGGTCGTGCTCGGCGTCATGTCGAGCAAGAAGGCCGAGTTGGACGACAAGGAGGACATCGTGAGGCGGTTGAACGAGGCGGCCAAGTTCTGCCCCCGCGGCCTCGACCAGCTGTGCTTGTCGCACCAGTGCGGCTTCAGCTCCACCATGGAGGGTAACGACCTCACCGAGGAGCAGCAGTGGGCCAAGGTCAGGCTGGAAGTCGAGATTGCCAAGCAGGTTTGGGGTGAGGACCTGTCTAAGTGAGCGCAATCTATCACGATTAATGACTTTCAACATCGATACCCTTCGCTTTTCAACAGCGCGCGAGATTGGATGCGGGCGTGTATATAACGGCATGGCAAACGGCGGCAG